ATTGAAAGTTTTATATATCCAGTCAGTTAAATGCGACTGGTTCATAATATTCCTTGCCTGGCTGAGTTTTTAAATGACAATTTTTTACGATGTTGCACACATTTAGGTACATGTAAATATTGTTATGTGATCCCCCCCCCCCCATTTCTCGCGGCTTCTTTATCGTATAAAATTCTAATGTTATTGTTTTCAAATGTTATTGTATATGAAGTTTTACAATATAAAAATTTCATTCTGGCCCCATGCCAGGGACTTGGATATGCTTATCCTTGTAAAGCTTTACAGATACACTGTATAGTAGTTAGGTCCCGGTAGTATAAAATGACCCTAGCCCTCTTCCCCGGTCTCCTGCACTGCCACAAAAATAAAAACTTGCAAACATATTCTTAGTCTTTTGTGCAGTATATTTTAAGCATTTAATTTAATTTGTACAATGCATGTTTAAATACAATTCGATCTTAACAAGATTTATTTCAATAAATCCAAATAACAAAATCAGCCCGTTTACATTTAATTTAACGGCAAGTTAAGCAATATCATACTAAACCGATAACTGAGATTATTATTTCAATAAGAAAACGAGTTTTAGATTGATAATAGAACTGTAATGACATACAATGCTGAGATTCTATGAATGATAAGGATTACATATATTTGACTTTTAAGTGACTAAAAACTGCAGATAAAGCTAAAACCTTTGAACTTTTTTATGCACAACACGAGTACCAAATGTTATATTTTCGAGTTACTGAAAATAAATAGACAGCAAAAGAAAAAAAAGGGAGAGAGAGAGAGATAGAGATTTCTTTTCATAATACGATATTGTTGTGTTTTTGAAAATTCACCTTTTCATTAAATTTTCACATTTCACATTGTATTAATAAACTGGATTTAATGTAACACACTCTCTCTCTCTCTCTCCCTCTCTCACATCAGGTATACATACATGTAAATTTCTTTTAAGCTAGAACAATTAGAACAACTTTATTTCATTCGGTAGTTTTTGTTTGTTTTCAAGTACTTACATCGGAAGTGGCAACAACAGAAATAAGACGAAACAATTTTTTTTTTAATTTCATTTTATTTTATTTAAATTTATGATCATTATTACTGAAAAAAAAAATTAAAATTCAAGTTATTTTAAAAAATAATTTCATGTTAAAATAAATTGATGCACATGTAACAGATTTAAAAAATAAATGAAAGTCTGGTTCAATGTAGCATCTATTTCTTATTCTATATTTTTTTTCTCTTTCACTTTGACAGCAGCTAGTTCCATAAGCTTTAAAAAATACTTTTAAAGAAAATATAAATATAATACTTACAATTAAAACGTTTTTTAACTGATGATAAGTAAGTTTTTTAAAAATATTTTTTATACTACGGGAGCAAATTTGTATGAGTATGTTGATTTTGAATGGTGTTAAAAAAAAAAAAGAAAGTCCCTCTCTGGTACCTCTCTAGTATCTCGCTTGTCAGAGTTACCTCTCTTGTTTTTATTTATAGTTCATAAAAATAATATCACGTCTGTCATTCGTTCGTACTTTTGCTACATTTGTGAAAACTTACAAGAATACTTTTCTTTTCTGTTGGAAGAAGTGTGATCAGTTTCAAATTTTTGGCAATTAAAGCATTTTCCAACAAAAATTTATGCACGATGTACCAATGCTTTAATGTTCACATGATCGATTGTTGAGAATGGTGGGGCGGATCTTATACAGGAAAACGATTTCCTCTGCAATATTTTGATAATATACCCGTGTCTAACAAATAACTTCAAATTGTCTATATATCAAAATCGCATTCGTTCATCCATATTCAATTATCCAGAAAATCACCTTGTCTGAAGCTCTATACATGTATAGGAAATGCATAGCCCAGATCAGAGATGTATAAAGCTACAATAACATGTAGTAAAGAAACGGGTCTCGAATAAAATTCTAAATATTTTAATTAATATCAGTAGACTAGAAGATCAAGACGTGAATTAAAGATATAAATGAAAATAAATAATTATTTCAATGACAAAAGTGAGCTAGACGTGTCAAAACGTTAAACACGTGGATAAAAAAATCTGCGTCGACGCTCATCGTCTGCAACGTCATATCTTTATGACGTTATTTCTCTGTTTTAGTAAAATTGCCATAAGGCCCTTTTGTCATGGGCGCAATCATATATAGTAGCTTTTCCTAATACATTTATCGGTAAAATTTGTATATATTCCTCACTGAGAGCGTCGTGGCAACGAACCCGAAGTACAATCTGTACTTCGTAATAAACTTGCTTATATATGAAAAGAGAAAATTAATGAATAAGGTATTGTTCAAATACAATTAAAGTTGTAAAATTTTGTGCTTTAATCAATACATTTCATTTTTTTCCTGAATACAGTCTTTTGTATCAAATAATCGGCCTATTCATCGGGCATTAGAAGCTAATTTTTACACAGGTACTAGCGTATTGGTTTATAAATATGAATGTACCTTATTGATATGTAAAAAAAGTAAAGTACATTTTTTGCATAACAATAAGATACATACATATTTATATACCAAGACCCAAGTACCTGTGAATTTTTACCCCCCCCCCCTCTTTAAAATAAAATCAATTTATCAGTAAAATGTGCTTATATGCTGCTTTCATCCATGACAGAAATGAAATAAGAGCATCTGGAGTACAATATCCATAACATAGTATAACAGGTTTTATAATAAACGTCAATTAATGGTTTATTTTTCAAGTTTTTACCAAAGGGAGTGGGATAAAGACGTACATCTACTTCATGCAGGATTTTGAACAAAGTATTTCTTCCTGCTATAAGACTGTAGGCTGTCAGTAGAAACTACAATATCTTTTCTGTCGATAGTGGTAAAAATGCAATCCCCCGCGCTTGCGCGGGATTTCATCTAGTGAAATATGAAGATAAAATAACGAACAGTATTCAATTTTGAAAGTTTAATGAAACAATACAAATTTAGGACAGAGCAAATACGGACCTCAAAATGAGAACGTGTATAAGATTTGTCCATCAATTTGATTAATCTTTATAACATTCTTCTTAACAAAATAAATTATGTTTGTAAAATTAAAAAGGATACTCCCTTGCTCCGAAGCTGCTTTGTTGATGTGCTTTATTAACTCGAGAAGTACAGACATATGACATCATAATATGGCGTTAAAATATATACTGGATATAACAGATCGTGAGTACTAAGTATGTTTAAGAATATGAATTTAAACTTTAGACAATAGATATACATCTTTTGTGTTTTTATTAGCTCATTTGCACAGAAACGCTTATACCTAGCCTTAATTAGCGCTTGAAGTTTTATGTGATGAAAAAAAGCATGTCATCTAATCTTGAATAACACTGCATTATAGAAAAAAATCGAAGCTTTACTGCATATAGCATGAAAACACCAAAGTTATTCTACCTGGATGTAGAAATCAAATCATTGCGTTCCCAGAATTTGCGGAAGAATGTATAATTTATATCACATGTCTTTGGACTCCTCAGAATTATAGATGTGCGATTACCGTCAAAGCAATTTGCTTCGACGTCTCTCACGACTTAATATATGACCTTAAGGTATGTCACTCGTGAAATTTGTTATATCAAGGATTTTTTGAGAAGTATATTTTGGATAAGTACTCATATAGTATGACTCAAAATCGCAGAGAAAATGGGAGGTCAGTGTGCATCTAACTGAGCTACGGTACAATTAAGTTGACCTTTTTGCACTTAAATTGTAACTCTTTGGTTAATCACTTTAACCGTTATCATATTTTATAAGATGTAACCATGGCAATAAACATAATCTTATTTTACGTAAAATAGTTTGAATAATATTTATCATTGAACAAATCATGCAAATTAATGCGCGTAAATTATTGTGTGACCTTTTTGCACTAAAAAGTCTCATATTTGGGGTATTAAAAATCTAAATAGGCAATAGAATATTTTCTTGTATCAAACTTTTTACGACTTATTTGCTGATCGGTCAAAAGTATCGAGTAGTTTAAAATAATGAAAGAAAAAGCTGGGGTCAGTGATGTAAATTTTGAAATATTGGTCAAAATATGTGATTTTCAGGCAAAAAACTGTGTAAATTTTATCTCGACTTCCTTAATATATCGTCATTTCTTGGCAATGTTTGTTGAGCGAAGGTGTAAATTTTGTTATAAAAATATAAATTGAGACCTATATTTAATATTCCAGGCATATCATAACGGAAAGTATTCTCTGAGTAAAAGTATGTGAGGCTTAAGTTCCAAGATATTAAATTTAAAAAATGTGTAGATTTGCAGAATTTTCTGCTAAATATCCTTCCGCCACAAGAAATAGTCCCTTATAAATCTTGCTTCTTTGTGAATTTTTGAGGAGTTTTTTAATTGAATGTTGAACATTTTACATTGTTTAATTTAAATATGTTATAAAGATTGAATTGTAATAAATAGTTTTTAAGTAAGAGGTTCTGACTGAAATTTTCTAAAAGGCTGACGAGTGACATACCTTAAATGCAGTAGTCGTTGTTGCCAAGAACACTAGGGAAGCAATTGTGCATACCTCTATTTTGACACCTTAAATACACACTAATTTGGAAAACTGGTAGCAAGCTGATTTCAAGTATTATTTTGGTTTTGCCTAGTGTTTTATTAACCAACTTCGAGACAACATACATATTTTTAGAAAATAGTAATCAGTATCCAGAGAGAAACAGAAGTACAATCAATTTCTTGATAAGTGGTCATATTATAGTCTTTGAATCCTGCTTTGCAGTATCATTAAGATCTTGTACGGAATTGAAAGAAACGTGCCTATATTTTTGACATTTTGAATTAAAATACGCGCGTCAATTTCCTTTTAACTGCTACCGATTCGAAGATACCCATTTTTTGCATTCTCCAAATAGAATTAACATATTAATTTTATTTCTTCCTAAACATACTCAACTGATTTTTTTTTATAAAGTATCAAAAACTTTATTTTGCCTTTGTAGAAATGGTGGTTTTCCCAGTTCGCCTTTGGTCAATACATACTGTGGTACAACTATAGACAATATTATACGGTCTCATAGTAACAGGATGTATATAAGATTTAAATCCGACGCTTCACAGTCTGCCAGGGGGTTTAGGATCTTCTACGATACCACCGCTGAAGGTTAGATTTAAGAATTATGCAGATATCTTAGAGAAACACACTAATGCGAAACCCATCCTTACTATTATTTTGGGTCAGAAAAACCCAAAATTCAAGCAAAAATCAATCACACAGTTTAAACTTAATATCAACAATTTATTTACAGTTATATATAAAATCAAAAAGTACAAACTTACAGCAACAATCCAAACATTAATACAGCTGAGTGTCCGTAATTGTACACACAATGTCGCTTTGAGGGTATCCAACACTTACCTTATCCTAGTCTCTTTGTACTCGTCCTTTTTGTATTCCGGTCTTTTTACTCCTGTCTTACGTATACATACAATTGGCAGTGTATTTATACATTAAATATATATAGAAAATTCTAGAAATTGTAAATACAAGATGATACTGGAACATTCTGGACATACACAAAATTCAAGATTCAAGAATGTTTTTAAAAAATGACCATACATGTTGACCACTCCGTAATGTTCCAGAAGTTTTTTTTATGTTACTCAATATAAGATTCACGCACATTTCAACTTCACAACACCTCACAACACTATATCATGCTATGATTTAACTCCTGTAAGTTCCAGGAGTAAAATACACTTAACGTAGGTCGCGGGTTTACAGGCCATTTAAAAGTGTCCGAAAACATACCATGAAAAAATAGTAATATGAATCCTCTACCTTCGTTTTACATTCTCTGAAAATTTTATAAAATTCGTCTGCATCGTTTTGGTGTAATTAAATCCCAAACATGCCATTGTTGTCGTTACATTTTCGACGTTATTTTATTGAATTATATAAAAAAAAAACGTCGTTTTTGGCTCGTTTTTTGGCAAGATTTTGATTCCAAAAATATCAATAACTTTTAAATGGTGCAGACGAAATTCTTTCCCCTTTGGTATTTTAACAAAGAATTGATTTGAAATAAATCAATGTGAAAAAATTAATATGTCTTCGGGTTAGTTTTCGCGTAATTTAATTGTGGATAATTGCTTTTATATCGCAAAATATAACATTTTTAAGAGCGACGTCATAAAACATCGCGACGTCATGCTTGACGTCGTGAATATCTCTCCGGTATTCAGTGCAGAAAAATAAGATGAAATAATTTTTATAAAAAAGAAATTCACGTATTTTTGCTTTCAAGTGACCCATGAATCGTATCATAATAATTCAATATCAATGAAATGATTATTAGACATGTTTCTCTTCAGATTAGGTTTTTTGTACGTCTTATATTAGTGAAAATTCTCACAAGGGACGTAAAACAACAATCAATCCTTTAGTTTCTTTCTTCCAATTTACTTTCTTTATGTGTTGTTTTCGTACCGTTTCTTTTCTGTTTGTTTTGTTTTTGTTTTTTTCGTAGATTAGACGATCATTCGAATCGTAATATGCCTTCTTCACTAAATTACAAATTCCAACAAAAGTTATATCTAAGTATTGTATCGACTATACAAATCGTAAAAACCCTTCATTATTTGTGATAAGTTGTTGCTTAAATAATATAACGCTAAACTACAAATTCCAAGAAAAGTTGTAGCTAAATAATGATATACTGAAGAATTAAAAAAAAACAAAAATCATCGCAGATTTCTTTTTTATTGTGACGTCATAATCAAATGTGCACAAGAAAGTCGCCCAAATCATATGAATTGTGTACACAGTTTTAACGACGTCAGCAAACCCGCGACCTACGTTAATTTGTAAATCAAATGAAGAAAAATTAGTATACAGTTGAACTTCTTTATCTTGAACAGTAATATCTCAAATACCATAAGAGTAACCAATAACAAAAAAGCAATTAGCATTCTCTCTTTAACTCATTTATTGTATTCTTTAAGGTTGTGGCGCAGATATGATCAATCCAACGGGAAGTTTTGTCTCCCCAAACTATCCAAACCAGTACTCCCATAATGCTGAGTGTTTCTGGACAATCACTATCTCCCGAGGAAGCAGGATCCATCTCACCTTCGTAGATTTCGACTTTGAGAACCATCAGTCCTGTCGCTATGATTATGTCGAGGTAGGAGCAGAGATAGATAAGTTTTAAATCTCTTTTTTTTATATATATATATATTCCTCTAATTAGAAAATAAAGCGATACTTATATTTGTAATTTGTGTAGATCCGTGATAGGTCTCCAACAGGCGATTTACTTGCCCGTTACTGTGGAAATCAGATTCCAGACTTTATAGACTCACCGTCCAACAAATTATGGATAAAGTTAAAAGTCGACCATTCTGTAGCAGGAAGAGGATTCCATGCTTTCTACAGCAGTAGTATGTATCTGAGCATAGTCTCCTATCTTTTCCAAGTTGCCAGTTGACCTTTTTTCAGCTTTATTGCGAAGTTTTTAAATCGGTACCCACGAAATCGTGGTGTATATCTTTATTGCAAATAGACAGACCAGGAGCTCTTGGCCCAAGCTAGATAGTTTGAAAATTGCATTATATATGTATTTTTTGAATGTTCTTTTCTCTTTTAAAGTTAACAGCAGTATTTAACATTATTATTTATTTCTCTGTCCAGTATGTGACACAACTCTGTCAGACTACAGCGGGGTAATCGAGAGTCCGAATTTCCCGAATCCATATGCCCACAACCGGAACTGTACGTGGATCATCCAGACGACATTAGGAAACACTATTAATGCCTCGTTCTCACATTTCCAGGTGGAGACCCATACTTCCTGTGCTTACGACCATCTACAGGTTCGAAACTTGACAAATATTCCACTGCATTTTACTCTTTCCCCACAATAATGCTTCAGTCTTCTTTGTTGTTGAACCGCGGTTATGTTGAATACATAATTAGAGTAATTTTTTTTTTCTCGTCAGTCACATTTTTTTGAAAGTAATTAAACTCCTTAATTTCTTTCCAAAGCTTTTAAAATCTTATTTTGTCCTTTGTTGTGAGGTCATATCCCAACTTCAAGCACTTCAAAAGTGCGCAAAATCATAAAAAAAGAGCAAATACAAATGTTTAGAGATCGAAGATTATTAATTTATTTTAATTGATAACAGGCATTTGTAATGACAATCCCGTTAAGGAATAGAATTTCTTTCTTAAAAAAATCCCACTTTTTGTCTCACTCCCCAACATAGCAGTATTTGATATATACTTTATAACCTTTCTTTTTCGTCTTCTGCATTCTTAGATACGTGATGGTAATTCCCCAACCTCCAATTTAATTGGGACATACTGTGGTAATAACATTCCTCCGTCCATAACATCCACTGGCGAGCATCTATGGTTAAACTTTATCTCGGACTTCTCCGTGGCAGGAAATGGATTCCGACTAGAATATATAACTAATGGTTTGTATAAATTCACATTAGAAAGTGTTGTTGAATATGGAAAGAGTTGTGAGTGCAAACGAACTGCTTTAGTAATTAAATTTATAATATATGAGAAAATTAAAGTAGGAGTACTGTGATTATAAAAGTTTCAGAATTGAATTTTAAAAATGATAAAATCAGTATTTAAAAATTTAAAAGGCATAAACAAACAACTAGTGTTATCATACGCAATATTCCTTGCAAGCAAATGGTCGATGAGAAAATATATGGCCATGCACATTTGGGAGAGTGTGTTCTTTTGATCAAACTCGACGCCAAATTTAAACGAGCGCAAATCACTCGTTAACCTGGCAGTAAATTCTTGGAATGTACAATGTATATACATGTAGTTGAAGGAGTTATATTTACGATATTGTAATTAACAGGTTGTGGAGGTTACTTTACACAAAACACCAACTCATTTACCAGCCCGAACTACCCTCAACCATACCCTCATCGTCGTCAGTGTGTGTGGCAAATTGAGGTTGCCACGGGGCAGGCCATAGAACTAACAATAAATGACTTTGATGTAGAAGTTCATGCCGAATGTCGATTTGATGGTTTAGAGGTACTCGTTTCATCTCCTTTAGTGATTTTATAACTTTATGTGGATCACGGAATGTATGTTCATGTTTTATTTTGTTCGCGTGCTGCCCGAGAATCCATTGAAAGTTTATTCCTGAACTGTATCGATTTTATTATTTTTCTATTCTATGAGATATATTCTCGAAATCAAGAAAACTAAATACATTTAATCCATTTGAAAACATTCTTAGTTGATTTGTTTTCAAGGTATACGCCGGTCGCGATTCTTCGGCGCCGAGATTGGCTCAACTTTGCCACAAACAGACGTCACCACAGGTTCTGACTACCACCGGAAACCTCATGCATATCATTTTTCGTAGTGACGTCAGCATCAGCGGGAAAGGATTCAGTGCTACATATAAAGCAATACCAGACGGTAAAACCTGAAAAAAGATGACTGAAATTCAAAATTTTGGAATTTTAAGCAATAAGAGTTCATTTAATGCCTCTCATATGGAAATAAGAAAATCATGTCGCAATAGATCTTTAAATATCTAAGTACTATACTGAAGTACAGATAGCCTCTTAACGTTTTGAAGAAGGTTAAAATCGTATTCGAAACCAACTAGCTACAGCGACTCTTCCCTTGTTAGTATAATCTCTAAACTCCATTGGCAAATCATGGCCTTTTGAAAAAACAACTCCTTTCCTTCATTTCGCATACACTGATTAAGATTTTTTTTCTTTTTTGGGAGGATATATCCTTTGGAATATAGTTTCTTGTTTTAAAGGTTGCGGTGGCAATTTTAGCACCCCTTCAGGTACACTAATGTCGAAGAACTACCCTGAAAACTACCCCCATAATACAGACTGCGAGTGGTTGATTACCGTACAAGACACGAAGACTGTGGTCCTCACCTTTGATGAGTTTGATGTTGAAGGATCCTCTGATTGCAGATATGATTACGTGGCCGTAAGTTTGTTCTCAGTGTTATGTTTGTCTAAATTTCTAACGTCACTTGTACGTTATCTTTCCTGTCAGGGAAAGAGACATCTATGCTTGGATTTAATTTCCGTCCTCCGATATGTTTAAAATATATTTTTGAAATGTTTTTGGTGCTACTATACCCAAAATCGCAAGTAAACATTAAGCTTGATTTATCAATAGGTATATGACGGGAATAACTCAAACTCAACAGAGTTGATGAAACACTGTGGCCGATCCCTGCCTGTCCCCCCAGAGTACAGAAGTAGTGGACAATACATGTACGTGAAGATGAGATCAGACGTTTCCCTGTCTGGTAAAGGATTCAAGGCGCACTACGTTACAGGTAGGAAAGATTTACTTCAACTGAATAATTTGAAATGTAACTCTAACAAATTCTATTCATAGAGTTTTAAAAACTACGGATTGAAATTCGTATCTCCACAAACTTTCTTTTTATGTGAGTAGACAGTATATGAATGGACGAACTGCGTATTGAATGAGGTACATGTACCAGTAGGTTTATTGAAAAAACAAAGTAGATGGTGACCCTGTAATACTGGATATAATAAATGCTGTAATAAATTTTGATGACAATGAAGCAAAATGTTTTTGTCCGAACCTACTACAATGGTTTACTCCTAAAAATCATTACCATGGAAACCTCAGAAGTTTGTCATATCTTCAGTCCTCATTTCTCGATAATTTCTAAGTAATATTTTTTAATATTGTTATGGTTAAAGGTTGTGGTGGTATTATTAATGGGGAGGAGGATGGTGTCATCATTTCACCAAATTATCCCAACTTCTACGACAGGATGAATAACTGCACATGGCTCATCAGGGCAGACCACTCTGGTTAGTATCTTGATAAAATATTATGTACCTTTTCCAAATCATACTTTTTGAAATATATTATTCAAAGTTTTTTTTTGACAGTATATTAATACATATATTACTAGTATTATTTTATTCCCTTCATGTATGTTGAGATATTCATTAAAGGAACATGTTTGTTCACAAAAAACATTCAGGATTACATGTATTCATTACCGGAAGATCTGGAACAACTTAACAAGACAATCTTTCTGGAAGTCTCTGTAAAGCTCCTTTATGTGTCATGATTTTGATATTACAGTATATTAATTAGTACCAAAATATTTTTTTTTTTGATAATGACCCAACATTGCACTTTATTCTATACCCATATATAACTAGAGCCGTTGACATCACCAAAGTTCTTATATTCGTGTACTCAATTGCTTCATTTTGTTTTACCTTAAATCCGAGGTTTGAATTTGTTAGCATCAAAGTAGCCATTACTTTCATGGTATTTTTTGCAAGGACTGACTGAATATCGTAATCTGTGATTAGAGCATAGAAGGAAAGTAGTTCTCTCATGTATTAGTATTAAAAGTAAAACATGGCTGTAAGAAATTGAAAGCAAGATAGAAAATGATAAAGGCGAAGATAACGAACAATAATCAATCTCAAAAACTCTACAAACAATACAATTTTGTGAACAGGACATAAAAAACTGACCCCTGGAAATACTAGAGGTGGGATCAGATGCGTATAGGAGGAGTAAGCATCCCCCTGTCGACAGGACTTTATCGAAAGATTGGTGATCTAGATTCTTTACGACAGAATTGTATAAGGGACGGTTATTTTACTGTAAAGAGAGAGTAAAAGTGAACTAATTCAGAAATCTTTAGATAGAAACAAATTGTATTGAGAGGTCGAGCATGGCTTGATGATTAAGATCTCTATGTCCGTTCTTCAGATGATCGTATTACTCTGACTTTCACTCACATGGATGTTGAGGAGTTATCGGACTGTACAAAGGATTACGTGAGGGTACTAAACGGTGATGATCTAGACGCACCGGAAATAGGGACTTACTGTGGTAGGACGATTCCAAGCCCAATCACTTCCTCGGGATCCGCCATGATTGTTCAGTTCGTCTCTGACAGGTCAATACAGAGGTCAGGGTTCAGGGCATTGTACACGAAGTCTTTGTCCAGTAAGTTTTATAAATTCTATTGTGGTTTTTCCAGATAAAAATGTAGTAGTAACTATTTTTGTCAAACAACCTTTAACTGCTTTCACGTTGATAGTTTGATCCGAAGTTTTCAAAGTTGTTTTGAATCTATTAACCTGGCACGTTTCAGGCTGTGGGGCCGACATAACGGCTCAGAGTGGATACATCGCCACCCCAGGGTATCCCTACCAATACCCCCAAAATACAGACTGTGTGTGGAACATCCGTGTTCCTCCTGGCAATAAAGTTGGAATATCATTCCAGTAAAAATCTTCTTTATCTCTTATTGTTTCTGAATTTGAATGAAGTTTAATTTGAAATTATCTTCATTATATTTTTGCTTTATCGTCCTGTACTTTTCTTTCAGAGTGTGCAAGACATTAACTTACCTTTTTTTGGAAATAACAGATGCACATTTAATAATTTTTACTTTCGAACTTTCAAATCATGATTGAAAAGGTTTTGGTCATGCTTTAATAAAATTTGAAACGAAGTAAAAATTAAGCGGACGTTTTTATTTCAGGACGTTTAATATACTCAGCCACCCCACCTGTAGCTATGACTACGTGGAATTGAGGGAGGGTGATGTTCATGGTCGACTGATTGGGAGATACTGTGGCACGAGATTACCCGGAAATCTGACGGCTGCTAACGGACTCTGGATGAAGTTCCACGCCGATGTCTACGGTTCCGGAACAGGATTTTTGGCGGAATTCAATACAAGTGAGCCTTAAGTTCGCTTACATGAAAACTATAAAATCAATAAAATTTCTGTATTTCAAGAACGTGAATCATATGAACATGTAATTAAATACAATCTAGATTATCATATAAGTGTTAAAGCTTTTGTGTTTCTTGATATCCATGCTGTTTCACATTCAAGTGTCAAGATTGTTTTCAAGTTACAACCGTGTTATATGTACAGTGTATGGCGGTGATCTGACCGGAAGTTCAGGACAGGTTGCGTCCCCTAACTATCCTAACCAGTATCCCCACAATGTTAACTATGTGTGGACGATCACTGTAGACGTGGGGCTCAGGATCCGAGTGACTTTTAACTCTATAGACATGGAGTCCATTGCAAACTGTTACTATGACTTTATCAAGGTGTGAAGAACTAGAGGAAATATCTGACAAATTCTTATACGCTTGACTGCTAAAGAACATCTGTTATCCTTCCTTGTATATCGTAGGCAAAGCACATGATTGAAAATCCAAATTACTTATTATTTTGTTCTGATTGAAAATGAAAAGGTTTAAAGCAATATGAACTGCAACTTTGCTGTCGGAATTTTTTGTTGCAATATCGTAATTAATTATTTCAATGACAGAAAAAAGAAGTACGTTTATAAGCTCCTGTTGTTTATATTTGCAATGGAAGAACCATTCTGAAGCTTTAATTGAAGCAAAATTACGTTATTGTCGTCCTGTACAATATTGATTTCTTCTATGATACTATACATTCCATTGCACTGAAATCTTTCCTTTTGAAAAAATAATACTTTATGTAAGGCTAATTGATCAGAAATGTTTAGGTATAGATTTATCATCACAGCACATTTTAATAGCAAAACAAAATGCTAAAAAAAGCAGCTCATATTGCTTTTAGGATTACTTGTCACGTGCATATTCTCTTTGTGACTAATTCAATACCTTTTTATCAGTTTCTTGATGGTCCTGAGGCTGATAGTGTTGAGATTGGCAGATTTTGTGGCACTTCCGTCCCATCGCCATTCATGAGTACCGGTAATGTAATGAGGGTGGAGTTCCGGACTGACTTCTCCAGTTCTGGTCAAGGATTCCTTTTTCAATGGGTGGCAACCAGTGATCAAATTCCCTCTACCACCGTGGCTCCGGGATCCACCACTCCTAGTATAAATTTATGTTTATGCATAATAACTAACAAACATACGAAGTTTTTTCTGAATAGAAAGCTCAAAATGGCATTATCATTAAAGTAAAGACGTAAGAAACTGTTTATGATAATATATTTCTTTTAGTTCCGGGCTGTGGTGGAACACTTGGCGCCAGTAACCAGGACAACACATTTACCTCTCCTGGGTATCCGGATGGTTATGCTCATGGTTTGAACTGCTTGTGGGTCATCACTACACTCCCGGGGCATCGTATCTGGCTCAACATTACTAACATTGACCTAGAGGGGCACTTCTCGTGTTCCTATGATAAAATCACTGTTTATGATAGTGAGTATTTCTTAAAGAATAAATGATTGTTTAAACATTATTTTTAAAAGTTATGGTGTATTGCAAAAATTTCTTTCTTTTTAAAATTTCTAAAAAATGCTACAAAGCAAATTTATATAAGGCAAGTTTCACCACAAATGAGAAGAAAATTTCTTGCTTATTTTGTTTTTGTTAAAAGACGCATACGGAAATGGTCGTTCCTTGGGTCAATTCTGTGGCAGGGAGCCAAATTCTGTCCCGATTTTGTCCACCACAAATGACATGTCCGTCAGATTCCAAACAGATACCTCAGTCAATCGTACTGGGTTCACCATCAAATATCGACAAGGTCAGGCAATGTATATTTCTATACTTTGTCCCTCTCTTTTAATGTTTCGGGCATTATATATCTTGTATGCGCTCTGAATTCATCATTTTTAAATTTAATCCATATTATAGAAAAATGTCATATATTGAACTAATCCATAATCTGTCTTTAATATTGTATTCCACTCTAGTACGAGGCTTAATTAGCATCAAATAAAATTATTTTTACAAATTTTACAAGTTTCCACTCAATTATTCAGTATTACAAAATACCTTATTTTCGCATTTGGTGACATCATTTTCTATCTTTCAGCTTGTGGGGGGCGTATGGTAATGAGCCAGGGAGTTATTGCTAGTCCAAGTTATCCAAGTCCATATCCCGGGAATCAAAACTGTGAGTGGGTGGTACAGGTCACTACGGGTCGTACTATCCAGGTAGTCTTCAACACTTCCTTCAACGTCGTGGGATCCGTCAGTGGATGTGATGGTGATTTTGTGCAGGTGCGTTTTTCATACATGCTCAAGTGTACAAATTTGTTGTCTTACTTTAAAAAATCATATCTTTATACAACTTGAATCATTCGATATACTTATCATAATATATTACACTTGAAATTACTTTAATAGACGTCGCCCGAGTGGCTCAGCGGTGCAGCGTCTGCTCTAGAGTCGCGGAGTAAGGAATTGATCCTTACGTCGCGGGTTCGAATCCCACTATGGGATGTTCCTTCGGATGAGACTGTATAAATCGAGGTCCCGTGTCACAGTAGATGCTGGCACGAAAAAGATCCCTTACTGCTCAGTGGCCTTGAGTGCCGAAAATAGGTCAACAAGCTTTCCACCGGCAAATGGTGGCGTCTCCATATGAGTGAAAAATTCTCGAGCGGGACGTTAAACAACAAACAAACAAAACTTTAATAGACAAAGAGATAAACTTTCTTTCAATTCCCAAACACCGAGTCAATTAGAATATAAGAAAAATAATTCAAAAATTTAGTCTATAGCTTAACGTGCAATTAGATGAATGGTAAGCTTATTTTGAAACATTGATTTTAGCTGCTAAATGGTGATAATGAAAATGCGCCACCAGTGGGCAGTAGTACCAACGGCCGTTACTGTGGAAATCAGAGCCCCGCTACCCTGGAGACGGGTAGTAACAAACTATACGTTAAGTTTGTATCAGATGCTGCAGGTTCTGCGGCAGGTTTCCGGTTAACCTTCACCGAAGTACACGTGCAATGTGGAGAGAGTATCACATTAACCCATAACGTGCCACAGACGTACATCATGTCACCAAACTACCCGGCGGTTTATCCACATAATGTGGATTGTGTGTGGACTATCCTAGTCCCGGCTACAGAGACTGTCCAAGTAGATTTTGAGGAAAACTTTAACATTGAGAACCATCCGAAGTAAGACGCTCAATATCATTGTCACAGAAAGCTGTCATGTGAAAAAAATGTAAATTAAGGACATCGACGGTGAAGTAAGCTTCAGTAACAATAATGATTGTTAGGGTATTGAAAGTACTCAGGCTTTGTTAATTCTGAAGTTATACTGAATGTGGTCTTCTACATGCTTAGCTGCAAATTAGGTCAATTTGAAGTCATATGGCATCAATTGAGTCATTCAACAAAATTCGATTTTTTTCATATAGAGATAAAATGGTGATATAAATGTACCTGTCTCATTAACTTAGTTGGAAACAGTTACATGGCAACCGTTGTTTTGGAGCCTTACTTCACTGCAAATGTCTACTAGTTATGTTATGACCGTATCTCTTTTAGTTCCCCCTAGAAATGGTTCTCTTTCTATATGAAAGCTTTGAAAACAATTTATAAAGTGAAAACTACGATATAATGAACTAAAATAACGTTAAGGGAACAGAGAGGACAAAAATATGAACAGAATGGAAACCATCGAATTGAAATTTTATTTTCTTGCTTGACTTTTCCCTTTCATTTATTAAATAAAAATGTATTTTGAAATAGAAAAAATTCCAACACTCTGTATGTGATTTTCTTCACCTGTGATTTTTTTTCTTTTTAGTTGTAACTTTGATTTTGTCGAGTTCCGTGACGGAGGAACGGCTAATTCGCAGCTGATTGGTAGATATTGCGGGTCTACACGACCAAGTACTGTCAAATCCACAGAGAATGTACTGTATGTTCGCTTTAGGACTGACAACAGCGTACCACGCGGCGGATTTAAAGCCCTGGTTCACTTAGGTACTTTCATATCTAGTACTTTTGCAAACCTTCCAGTCATACATTTATATACTAAAAAATCAATCATAATATAATTTTATTAACGTCGGGCAAGATAATATTCAGCAAGAAAGTTTAATAAATTGTCGATCTTCTCCTATTGCAAAATGAATTTCACAGGGTTCTTTTCATTATTTCATTAAGCAATATTGATCCAAACATTACGTCTCATATTAAGCATAATTCCCTTGTCACAGACAGGAGTGTGATATAGAGCATACATATACATGTATATACCAAAATCCACAGTAAAAGAAAAACTTGCAGATAAACAAATACATGATTTTTTCTCGGGATTGAATATTGCACAAGCTGTTTTCATTGCACAAATTTCAGTATAAAAAAAATCATATATATGTACTATATAATTTGTCCAAACGGGAAACCAACGGTTCCATAAAATTTGGCCGGATTAGACAGAATCCGGAGTGCAGGAAAAATGCAGTAATATATTTGATTTTTTTTCGATTGTTTTATTAACACGTTCAATGCATATGTTGGAAAAATATGATTAAATTACAAAATCATTTGATATTTATGGAGTCTAAAATTATTCAAAAGTATATCATGACTTACTGTCAATTTTTCTTTTTCGTTCACAAAGTTTGAGACTTTAAAAGTGAAATGTTAACGGAGTCAAAATCTACAGACACGTGTGTACCAAGTGCAGCTTTTGCGAGCTGGAAAGCGTATTCATTTGAACCATAAACACAATTAATTATTGAATTGACATTTCAATTTTTATGTAAACATTTACGTCTTCCCTTCAATGTTATGGCGCCATTTTGAAATAAGACGTTTGAGTTTCGATCCCCATTTATATTTTGATTTGTAAATCGTGTACATATATTGTCATTGATTTTATGTTATACTCTATGAGCAATTTAAACATGTAAGCATTTTTTTTAAAATCTACTTGTATTAACTTTATATTTCTTAAAGTGATTTGTATCACCGCCGCGTTACAGTTCGTCTAATGACCTAATGACCAGAGTAAAAGAAAAACTTGCGGATAAACAAATACATGATTTTTTTCTCGGAAGAGAATATTGCACCAGCTGTTTTCATTGCACAAACTATCAGTATAAAAATCATATATATGTACCTCTATAATTTATATTCAGTGTCTATGTAAAAGGTTTAAATGATTTGGATGAACTTAATATAAATTGAAATATAAGTGTTTCACAAAAACTGATATAAGCGTAGCAATATTTTTAATATGCATATCCTAAATGACTTTTCATGGAATCACTTCTCTTTTTGATTTAAAAGTATTTTAATTGAGTACACATTTTCTCCTTAGCTCGTTGTGGCGGTACTTACGTTGGACAGACTGCTATGATTGCTTCACCAAATTTCCCGAGGAGTTACGGAAACAACGAGAATTGCGAGTGGAATCTGAGAGGTCCCACGGGTCATTTCCTGACCTTGACCTTTCTCAGTTTTAGCCTTGAATCCAGTGCCAGCTGTGCCTCGGCGGATTACGTGGAAATCAGAGACCTCAATGCGACAGGTAAGTTTACCTCTGCTTATAGCTTAACATCCTCCACTATTTTGTGTGGAATGGCAATGAGATGTGATTAATTGATTGTAATTTGTTTTACGTCCCGTTCGAGAATTTTTAACTCATATAGTCAACGTATAACGCTGAGGGGCTTCAAATTTAGAACTATACTCGGCACTCAGGGCCATTGAGCAGTGAGTGTTCTTTATTGTGCCATCGCCTCCCGTGACACGGGACCTCGATTTTTAAGGTCTCATCAACAAGACCCGTGACTTTCACTTCTAGTGCCGGGCGTTTGGCGAAGAAATAGCCACTATCTTTGTTAACGTCTTAGGTTTGACACGCCGCGGAGAACGAGAATCGAACCTGAGCTTTCGGATCACGAAGTGAACGCCCTACTACTGGGCTACCGTGATCGTTGGTATGGCAATGAGAAATTTGGTTATTACCTTGATTAAGTTAATGTTTTTGTCGAGATGTTAACTACATATAGTTAGTTTTCTTTCGAATTAATGGGTTGCTGTTTTCAAATCTAATCAGTGTATTATTGTCTGTTTAAAACATGGCTTTGAAAATATTCTCCTAAGTCATAATTGTAAATAATTTCACAGTGCAATAACATTTATGATGGGAAACGGAGTTATTTGTTACAAGATTATGTGTTAGGTTATTTACCTTTCCCTCTTAATTTTAAGGTACATCTGTAATTATTTTCTATATTACGGTTTTATAGGTCCAGTATTGACGACTTTGTGTGGCTCCCAGATTCCCCAGCCCGTCATAACATCAGACAGTTACGCCCACATCAAGTTCATTTCCAACAATGCCAACACATTCCCCGGCTTCCAGATGAAGTTTGACGCCAGTGTAGAAGGTGGGTAAACAGCTGTGAAGTGAAAAGAAATCTTATTCTTAGGAATCTATTGGTAAGAAAAGAGTGTAACTGTAACAAATTTTCGTGGTTTGACGAAAAAATACTGACCAGTTTGTGGGGATTTGATTGCGTGGATGGAGAAGCGCTAGGTTGTTATTTATTTGAACTTTTACATTTTGTGGAGGACATTAATTTGTGAGTCTCTTCATACCACGAAATCAACGAAAATAGAACCCACACGAGAATAAGTGAGAAATTAATGGAAGGGATAGAGAAAGTTTATAATATCAAGAGGCCCATGGGCCACAACGCTCACCTGAATAACTTTGGCCCTGCTGTTCTTCACCAGATGATCTTTTTGTAATACCTATTGTGGCCCCGCCCTACCCACGGGGATCATGATTTTAACAATTTAAAATCTACACTACCCTAGGATGTTTCCAAATAAGTTTCAGCTTTACTGGCCAAGAGGTTCTTGAGGAGAAAATTTTTGAAGATTTTTCCTATATATTTCAATGTAAAACTTTGATTCCCTATTGTGGCGCCGCCCTACACCCAGGGGTCAAGATTTGAATTCTTTAGAATTTACGCTGCCCCAGGATGCTTCTACAAAAGTCTTAGCTTTTCTGACCAAGTGGTTCTTGAGAAGATTTTTTTTTCTATATATTTCAATATAAAAATTGGATTTCCTATTGTGGCCGCACCCTGCCCCCAGGGGTCATGATTGTAACAATTTAGATTCTACACTACCAAAGGATGCTTCCACATAAGTTTCAGCTTTTCTGGCCTAATGGTTCTTGAGAAGAAGATTTTTAAAGATTTTTTCTACATATTTCAATGTAAAACTTGGATTCCCTATTGTGGCCCCGCCCTTCCCCCGGGGTCATGATTTTAACAATTTAGAATTTACACTACCCCAGCATGCTTCCACATAAGTTTCAGTTTGTCTGGCTAAGTGGTTCTTGAGAAGAAGATTTTTAAAGATTTTTTCTATGTATTTCAATGTAAAACTTGGGTTCCCTATTGTAGCCCCGCCCTTTCCCCGGGGGTCATGATTTTAACCATTTAAAATCTACACTACCCCAGGATGCTTCCACTTAAGTTTCAGCTTTTCTGGCCCACTGGTTCTTGAGAAGAAGATTTTTAAAGATTTTTTTCTATATATTTCAAAGTAAAACTTGGATTCCCTATTGTGGCCCCGCCCTTCCCCCGGGGGTCATGATTTTTACAATTTAGAATCTACACTACCCCAGGATGCTTCCACATAAGTTTCAGCTTTTCTGGCCCAGTGGTTCTTGAGAAGAAGATTTTTAAAGATTTTTTTCTATATATTTCAATGTAAAACTTGGATTCCCTATTGTGGCCCCGCCCTTGCCCTGGGGGTCATGATTTTAACAATTTAGAATCTACACTACCCCAGGATGCTTCCACATAAGTTTCAGCTTTTCTGGCCCACTGGTTCTTGAGAAGAAGATTTTTTAATGACCCCACCCTATTTTTGTCTTTTCTTGATTATCTCCCCTTGTAAAGGGGTTTGGCCCTTTATTTTAACAATTTAAACTCCCCTTCACTCAAGGATGCTTTGTACCAAATTTGGTTAATATTGGCCCAGTGGTTCTTGAGAAGAAGTCAAAAATGTGAAAAGTTTACAGACGGACGGACAGACAGACAGACAGACGGACAGACAGACGGACAGACGGACGGACGGACGACGGACAAAATGTGATCAGAAAAGCTCACTTGAGCCTTCGGCTCAGGTGAGCTAAAAAGGACAAAAACTTCTTACACAGTTTGCAACTACACATCTACAAGATTACACATACTATGTATTGATATATTCCTTCTTGTTTTGTGCTGATTAACTTGGTGGCTTCGTGATGTTTCTGTAAGGGAACTCGTTAACTAAGCATGTTTTTAATTTTGCTATTAAATGACTTCCATTCTTTTGTTCCTTGTTTTTTGTAGAATGTGGAGGAGAATTCACAACCAGTACAGGTACATTTACTTCCCCGAACTTTCCCGGCCAGTATCCCCATCGTCGTATATGTACTTGGTTAATTAAGGTGCCCCAGGGCAGGCGAGTGTCTTTGACGTTTGAGTCTCTCAACATTGAAGCATCTTCTACTTGTTATTATGATTACGTTTCGGTAAGAATAAAGCTCTCACCTAGGATAAGTGTTTTCTTCTTTATTCTCCTTTAAAAAAAACTCCTTTGCTCTTATTAAGTAACTGATTGATTTTTAATTCATTCTTAAATGTTCCCAATCCATTGACAAGCTTGTTTCTTTTTTCATTGAATTATGCAACCTGGTTTTTTTTCTTCAGGTGTATAACGGTATTTTACGAGATTCGCCTGCTCTAGGACGGTATTGTGGTACCACCCCGCCATCTGTGGTCGAGGCCAGTGGTAACACAATGAAGGTCGTCTTCTTCACGGATGGTTCTGTCAGTAATGGTGGATTTAGAGCTCACTACTCCTCACTGAACGAACAGAGTAAATTTTCTTAACAAATAAATGTTTTCATTCAGATTTATCTGTGATTATCCAATGAGTTGTAATTGTTTGTAAATGCTTGAGGCTTGTTGATAGGGAAAATCGTGCCGAAATATCATGTTTTCATACAAATATATCAGGTCTATGATTTTACATTCAGTTTATTGTGAACAAATGCTTGAGGCTAAGGGTGTCAAAATCTTTTCTTGTCTGTGGATGGGACATGTCGACCAAGTCTGAGTGTGTGTTGTCTTTATGTGTCTAGAATGTGGCGGTTTGTTGACTCGACCTTTTGGTAATGTGTCATCTCCTGGCTACGTCAGCGGTAACTACAGTAACAGAGAGGAGTGCACGTGGTTCTTTAACAACCAGAACTTGACAAGTTCCTCCATCTTTATCCAGTTCAGCAACTTAAGGCTTGAATCACATACCAGATGTGCATTTGATTTCCTAGAGATTAAAGAAGGTACCTAAAATGAAAAATGTTGACCAACTCCATTAAAACAAGAACACGTTTTGGCTGATCAGGAGAAAATATTTAGTATTTTCCTTTTTTCAAAGTAATTTTTTTTTAAATTAGGCAACTCAGAAAATGGAGAATTGATTGGAAAGTATTGTGGAAACACAACATTACCAGACCCAATTATATCCCCTTCAGCCAATCTGTGGATGAGATTCAGGACAGACAACTCCATCGTTGATCAGGGATTCCTCTTGACCTATACTTATACCGGTGAATAAACTTAATTTGACAATTTGTATGGTATTTAATGTATATAATGTGGTAATCTCTGTACGTCTTACAAAATGAAAGTTACAAATCATTCCATCGCCTGTTATAAATATTTGACAAAATTAGTTCCCGTAACCAAAATGTCATGGGACTTTTTTGTACATCCAGATTGTGGAGGAATACTTACACAAGATAATGGAGAAATAGTAAGCCCCAACTTCCCATTTAATTATAACCACAGTGATGCATGTGCATGGCTGATTTTGGCTCCAGAAGGTTCACGAATTCAGGTACGTTCACCGTCATTATAATAAGGAGGACAGTTTTTTAAAAAAAAAAATCCACGAGGCAAATTTAACAATTAGAATATATATGTAAAATTTCCTTTTTTCCAAATATTCATTTCTTTTTATTGTAAGATATAAAATCGGTAACATTATTTCAATTTTAATCCAATGTCTTATTAGTAGTTATAAAAGTGACTATAGGATGATAGTTAATTGAATCCTATTTATATTGATTTTGATCATAGGTAACCTTTAAGAATTTCTCCTTGGAAAATCATCCTCGGTGTATTTTCGACTATGTTGATATTTTGAACGGTCGCTATGTCAGTTCGCCCTCGATCGGTAAGAAGTGCGGGACTACCGTACCAGAGCAGTTTACTTCTCAGAGTAACGGAATCAGAATCATCTTCAAAACCGACTACAGTGTGTCTGCTAATGGATTCAAGATTCAGTACAACTTCGTTACAGACGGTCAGTATATACAGTCTTTTGGCAAACTTCATATTTTGATTGATTGATTGTTTCTTAATGGCGAGTCGGCAGTTTTTAACCATCTTTCAGCGGTAAAGTTAAACACAGTTTTTGTAATGCACAAGTATAGTCAATATCACCTTGCTCTATCGATATTACATTATTACAATACATGTACATAATTAGAAAACAACTTTATCAGCAGACATTTGCCATTGAGTGCTGTTCAGTCAGCCACATTTATCTTCTTTCCTCCATAAGAAATACCACGAAATGGCTAAACTACTTTAAGCGGACTCTAACTTTCCCTTTGTTAGATTTGAATACCTCTTTCTTCAATGTGCAAATATCCCTTCCTTCCAAGCAAACAGTAAATTGTGTAGAGTTTTTGTTTGTTATTGTTTAACCTCCCTTTCGAGAATTTTTCACTCATATTGAGACGCCACCAGTTGCCGATGGAGGTGCAAATATTTAGACCTGTACTTGGCACTTACCGCCTTTGAACAGTGAGGGATCTTTTTCGTGCCAGCACGTACTGCGACACGGGGCCTCGGTTTATATGGTCTCATCTGAAGGACCGGTCTCCACGTCGCCCAGTGGATTTCAACCCGATATGTATGTTTCAACACGCTAGAGCAAAAGTTCTAACCACTGCGCCCTATGGCGACTAGGTTGTATAGAGAAATAACATGTTCCATATTAAAGGATTAGATTTGTTGTTTCAGGATGTGGTGGTCTCTATCACAGTAATACAGGTCTGATCTCCAGCCCTAACTACCCCTCGAGCTACCCCCACAACACGGAGTGCGTCTGGGATATCAATGTATTGGATGGTTATCATGTGGTCCTAAACTTTATCCCGCCTTTCGACATGGAAGCTCACGGCAGCTGTGGATATGATTATGTGGAGGTAGTAAATAATGAAAAATCTCATTTTTACTCATTTCTCATTAGAATAATATCTGTATTGAAGTGATTGATTATCAATGATGACATGAGTACAAACAAAATAAAGTCTTTAAAAGGATTGTCAAATTTTAACTTGGCTTTATCTTTTGATATAATTGTATGCTTAAGATGATTTGAATGAATTATGAAGACACATTAATTATTTGAGATTTTAATCTGACAGTTTCTTTGTTTTATTGTTTGTTTTTTTGTAAAGGTTGATGATGCTCTAAGAAACGGATCTCTAGTCAGTCAAGGTCGCTGGTGCAGTAACTTGACCCCTCCACCACAGAGATCTACCTCACGACGGCTGGTCGTGAAGTTCCGGTCTGATCCTGCTGTCAATGGAAACGGCTTTGCTGCAAACTGGACTGCTGGTATAATTTGAATTTATCCGAAGAAACAATTCGATATGTATATTGAACATAACATATATAAGTCTTTGTTAATAGTATTTTTTGATATTACATAAAGTCAAGCATAATTTTGGTTTGATGACTCTTTGTCTAATCTCAAGAGACAAGGTCAATACTTTGGCTATTTGTACATGGTGGTTTAATTAATTTAATTAACGAGGTTTTTTTTAAAAAAAAATTTCAGACTGTGGAGCGTTGTTCACCGAAGAATCGGCTGACTTCGTTTCGCCGGGTTATCCTAATGAATATGGTCACAACTTAAGGTGTAACTACACTATATCAGTTGATCCTCAACGATTTATTGTCTTTAGTTTCTCCAGTGTCAATTTCCACCTAGAAGGTAAAGTTAAACAATGTAGTAAAAAAATTAAAGATTGTTTTTATCCAATCAATTCTTGATTTACGAAATCATAGCACAAAACATCAAGCATAAAAGATTTCCAATATCAGCCTGTTTTAAGAAAATTTTTTAATTCCTTTCTAATTCCTATCTTTTTACATATCAAATAAATTAAAATAAGTAATAGCGTACAAATTATATAAGATCAATTTCCTTTAGGTGGCGTTGGATGCCGTTTTGACTACGTTCAGGTGTATGCTGGGAACGATACCAGTGGGCGTTCATTGGGTAAATTCTGCGGGACTGATCTCCCTGACCCCGTCAGTTCATTGGGAAGCATGTTCATACAGTTTGTGACGGATAGTAGTGTGGCTTTCTCGGGATTTAGAGCCCAGTACCGTACTTCAGGTAAAAGGCATTTTCCTAATCTACTAGCAGGCATTCGATCATCGAATCAAGAATTCAAAGCATTCTTTTACTATATTTTATTGCGTCTTAAGAATAAACATAGACAGATTATGTTTTCAATTTCATCCAACCTGATTGGAAGATATAATAGAATTATCTGAACAAATGTTGTCATTCGTCTGTTCATCTGCTAAGCAAAAACTTTCTCTAACTTCCTGAAAATTTATGTGATTTTCATCTAGTGGTAATACTATATTCAGTGCTACCTTGAATCAGTGACCAGTATGTAATGTATGATAGTGTAAAATATTTAGCATGATTGTTTTTATATTGACATAGATTGTGGTGGATATTACACGGACGCCTACGGTACAATACAGACTCCTACCTATCCCGACGTCTACCATCACGAGGCCAACTGTACCTGGCTCATCACTGTGGCCGAAAACAGGGTGGTGGATCTAAAGTAAATGATATATAATTGGATTTAAAAGTTCTTATAAAGAAGAGTGCAAAATTACTATACATGTATTAAATATAAATTTGCAAGAACATTGATTTTAACAAACAGTATCGCAAATGCAACGTTCAGAAATAATTTCAACCCCCCCTCCCCCCTCTTCTCTCTATAAAAAGAAGTGCTTCATAAAGTGAATCAAATCTATGACGCTTAATAGTATATGGTTGCACAAAGTTTAAATCTCCATCGGCAACACAATAGATAAAGGATAAAATGAAGATACTATATTCATGCAACAGGTTTTCATCCTTTGATATCGAGGCCCATCCTTCTTGTGGTTATGACTACGTAGAGGTTCGCGACGGTAACAGTCTACAGTCCCCACTCCTAGGTCGGTTTTGTGGTAAAGTCATTCCTAACGTCATTAGGAGCACAGGAAATTCAATGCTGGTTAATTTCGTCACAGATCCAACAGTGGCGTACGGTGGCTTTAGGGCGGGCTACTGGACAACATATGGTAAGTACCAGAAAATATCGTATTTACAGTAAGAAACATACATTTTCAGTAATTTGTGGAACTTTGTAAACTTAATTATAAGGCCAAGTTTTTTTTAAAAATCACATATAGAATAAAGTTTTAAAAAAAATAACGCTAAAGTCTTCATTGTAAAGTTAAAATTAAAATCAATTTTAAAGGGAATGAACTCCACTTTTTTTTTGTCAATTAGAATTTCTTCTCATCATAGTTTTTAAAACATTTTATTGTCAAACGATTATTTAGGGATTTTCTAATTACATGTATTTATCTGGGACAAAAGTAACAACTATGCAGAAGCAAGTTTTACTTTACCTTTAGTTTATGAGTCTGTTTTACAGTAATTATAATTAGGATACTTTATAAATTTGTGATTAAAGATATTTTTTTCACAGTCAATATGCCTGGTTTAACACTTATATAATTATATTGTTGTGCATCAATTTGCCTTTCGATAAACAGGTGAAAGGCAGGGCTGTGGGGGTATACTGAACTCTACATCTGGTCGTTTTGGATCAGTAGACATTGATAGAAATGGGGTATATGAAGCACAGAATTGTAAATGGACGATTATAGTGGGTGACAACAAGATTGTCAATCTCCGATTTGAGAGCATGGATTTGGAGGAAGTTAGGGATTGTCGATACGACTACGTTCTGGTAAGAAATGGATAATTATATCATAATGTGAGATAATAGACAAAGAATTTATAATGATGGCATTGATATTCTGTCATTCTCTATAACTGTCAATTGTATCAATATAAAAATTTAACTTTAATAATTTAAATATTGCTTCGACTTCTTCCTTAATAGGTGCACGACGGACTGAGTGAGGATGACCCTCTTATAGGAAAATATTGTGGAAACCAGATTCCCGCGCCCATAAAATCTACCTCCAATGTTCTGTACGTCCTATTTGTGGCTGATTTTACCGTGCATCATGCCGGGTTCAACGCTACTTACCAACAGGAAGACGGTGAGATTATAACTATCACTCACCCTTTATCAATAATCTTCGTCCATATCTTCTTTTATTCCAAAAGTTTTCCCTAAGTTTGCACTTATAGATAAATGTCAAGGTGGTATCTCAAAACCTTTGAAAAAAAACTTTTGTTTTATATGTAGCTCTCTGTGGAGGTGCGTTTTCGGCCACGGATAGTCCTCAGGTCATCAGTTCTCCCTCCTATCCACGTCCTGTGGGTCAGGACCTAAGATGTCGCTGGACTATTGACTCTGGGGATGATTCCAAACAGATCCGGATTTCGTTCTCTGGACTTAACCTAATCAGTGATAACAATTGTTCCATGGAGTACATAGAGCTCCGGGACTCACCTTTGGTAAATGCTAATATCAAGCTGGACCTTTTTGAACCACATTAACATTTGCATGTATAGAGGAGAAAAGTACACAAAAAATTAAAGCCATATTTAGTATTATTCGAAAGTTAAAAAAAACTCTGAATATGTAGTTATTTTTATAAACTAGGGTTGGAGTGGGCGGTCTCACTTGTATTGTGGCACAAATCTTCCTCCTCCATTTGATTCAGCGGGGCGGACTCTTCAAATTAATTATGTGGTGACTTCCAGCTCTGGAAGCCAAGGATTTTCACTAAAATACGAAATAGCTAGTAAGTTCAACAAAAAAGGGTACATAATTCTGAAAAGAAAGATAATGACAGTTTGATTTTTGAAAATAAGTCAAAATTCTTTTGCAGGGAACAATGCCTTAGAAAATTATTAAGAACAGTTTTATGAAAATTAATAGCCTTTTTGTACTTGTGAATCTTAAGAAAACATAAATAAACTTTGTTGAATAAAACAATTCTATTTCTAGATTGTAACAGAACATTTACGGGTACAGGGGGTAAAATCTTCAGTCCTGGATGGCCAGGAAACTATCCAAGGAATACGTATTGCGAGATTTCGATATCAGCACCGGCCGGAACTTTCGTCACTCTCTATTTCAACTTCTTCCACATCGAACCTCACTCCAGATGTCGTTACGATTATTTAGAGGTATGAATATCGGTTCTAGGGCCCGATTTTAATTGTTGTCACGATCATTTAAAGGTATTAAATGTCATAATTTTTAGAGCCTCATTCAAGCTGCTTTTTGTAATTATTCAGAGCAATAAATTTTGTAGTCAATCCAGCTGTAGTCTTGTTTATTTAGATCTTGGAATATCGTAGTTTCTGGGGTGCCTATTCCACCCACCGTCACATATACCCTCAATAGGACTAGAGTAGCGATTATTATTCTTTTCCACACAGTTTTGCCAAAACATAGTATACATTTATATCTACAAGGCATAGTATTTCTGTATGTATTAATACTTTCACAAATATTTATTTTTTGAGGATAAATATAATCTTGTAAATACTAGTAAGTACCGGTCTCACTTCACAACCTTTTCTGTTTTGGCTTATTCTGTATATTATCTCTGAATTAAAGTTTTTTAATTGATATTTGATTATAACACTTTAAGTAAGCTACTCCACAACATCAATGATATAATCGACAATTGTCATTTGTTTTTGTCAATCATTATGCTTTTTCAGGTACGTAATGGCAGCTCTGCGTTGTCCCCGGTCATTGGTCAGCTGTGTGGCAATACAATACCGAACCCAGTTTTTGCCACCGGAAACAGTTTGTGGATGAGTCTAGTTACGGATTCCTCTGTGTCTCATCGTGGTTATGATATCACATGGACGGCATCCACGTCAGGTACTTGTTAATGATCAAGTCTCTCCGTAGATATGATATCATGTAGACGGCATCCACGTCAGGTACATGTTAATGATCAGGTCTCTATGTAGATATGATATTACGTAGACGGAATCCACGTCAGGTACTTGTTAATGATCTGATCTCTCCGTAGATATGATATTACGTAGACGGCATCCACGTCAGGTACTTGTTAATGATAGATCTCTCCGTAGATATGATATTACGTAGACGGCATCCATGTTTAAGTCTAACCTTGGTTATGATATTACATGGACGTCCGGTACTTGTTCAGAGAGAAATGAAAAACGTTTTCTTTTTCTTTCAAATTTTGAATGAGAACATACATAGAAGATATCTATAATGTATTTTTTTTTATTTATTTGTCTGCTAAAAGGAATTGACATATGAATGAATTTGCGAGGCTTGCCGATGTTTTAATATTATATAATATGGTATCTTTCGTAACTTATCGAAACATCATCGAACGTAGTTATTTTATGTCCAGAGCTGAGAGGCAATTAAAAAAAGCATTTTGTGCTTTGATCATTTACTTTTCATAAAAATGTTGAACACTTCTGAGTCACTTACAACACCAAGAGCTATCTATTTGCTTATGTCGTCCTCTGGCTGTGTTCTTCAATGTTTTTTCATGCTTCTGATTTCTGGTCCTATTTCAATGAAAATTTTTACAAAACTTCGTTTAATAATAGCCTTTCAATTTTTGAAAATGAATCAATAATTATATGAGGAAAAGATAAAATTTTTCTTCAAGACTCCTCGATTCAGGAAGCTTTCTTATTCGGTTTCGTACTGATTCTGGTATTTCTCTGAACTTTAGCTTCTGAGATCTGAATGATTCAAGGTAACGTGTGGCGTTTTTGAACACAATTTCACGTTTTCCCGCACAACAAAACTTTTAACAAATTACTCCAAATACTAGTAACTCAGACGTAATGTATTTTTTCATAGAAATTTGCCAATACCTTAAGGTCAAGATCTAGTAAATGATTCTAGACTGTCTTTTTAGTGCTAGGTCCATTATGACGTCATAATTGATTTAAATTTACTTTTTCCCGTACTTTATGGCTATAACAGAATAATGTAGAAAATGATGCATTTTCTTGGCATTCAATTTGAAATCATGTCAAAAGGAACCGAACCCCGATACCTATATTCATTTTAAGATCCTTTTAAAGAAGAGGACAGGAAGATATGAAAAACCGTTTTCTGAGACACTGTAGGCAATATTGATACATTTTGTTTGTTTGATATAGAGAACACTCCCATTTTTATACCTGATTTTCTTCATTTTTCATGGGAAAATGCAGTATAAAATATGTTTTTCGTTCAGTTAATCTATAAAATATGCCCGGATACACCTTAATTTAGTAAGCTATAAATGTAACGGATTATTAAAGGAATTTGTTTCTCAAATTTGAGAAATCTGTAGGCACTTTTCATTTACTAGATCTTGACCTTAATTATTCAAACAAATGTTTTTATTTTTAAAATATAGTTTTGTTTAATGGGTAGTATTCACTACAAGTGTAGGATTATTAGTATGTATATCATGATGCATATTTGATAAAACAGCAATATTATTTTACCTGTTCAGATTTCCATCGTTTGTAAAACTTAACTACTATTCCAATGTCACTTGAATTCTCATCTCAGTCTTCCCTCTCCTGTATTCATTTCATTTGAAATAACGACCAAAAGATAAAATAAGCTGGACTTCATCTTTCAATTGATACCGTATTTTTCCTTTACATTTTCAACAGTTTGATACTCTACAATCAAAGACTCTTCAGTTAATATAGTTATTTTTATGGTAGTAAATATGGTATAATATTCACCTGAAAAATACCGCTGTCAATATTAATATTTTTCTTGTGAATATCGAACATTATTATATAGTATATGAATAGTCCCTATGTAATCTATATAAACGCAAACAGTTCACATAATACTACATTCTTACTGGATTTGAAGCCGTATTCACCGGAAGGTCAGTGTGCGTGCAGCAGCATTGTGACGTCGCAAGCAATACTTCAAACAACAATGAAATCAATGGTTGCAACGGCCGGAGCCAGCTGTGTATCTGAGGACGAAAAATGTTAGGCAATCTATTGCAAGATTATTTTCCAAACATTTCGATGTCTTACACATAACAAAAGAAAAACACGGAGGTTATAAATTGTAATCTAGACTTTTTAAAAATTTTTCTACGACAGAAGTTCGTTAATGAAAATGGAATATCCATGCAGCCTTCAATGTCTTTAATTTAAATTCTGACTTTATAATAAAACAACTTTGGACTCTTTCGGTGGTGAATATGGTTTGTTATTCGCCAGAAAAATATCAAGATTGACCGAAGCGAAGCCGAGTCCATAAATGTATGATGTAAGCGGTCTATAAAAAGCGTTAACTGTTCCAACCCACTTTATACCGTATAAATTGGGTAACTATTAAATCCATTCCCTATAATTTGATTTTCATTTTCATTCATTTAGTGTATGAAAAAAGATGATTGCCTTTATAAAATGACTTCAAATTGTACAAAATTTAAATGTATCGTCAGGCGGATCTGTACGTTTTTGACGCAAGTCATTGTGACGTAGGCAACCCAATTTATACGATATAAAATAATTTTTTTATCCAATCAAAAATCGCGTGTTACAATCAGAATTAATTTATTACATTTTCAACAGTGAAATTCTGTAATTTATTGAATGAATAAAAGCTATATTTTTTTTTACACTGTTTAAAAAATATAGAAGTACGGCAAAACTATCGATTTTCCTTCCCTTCACGCAGTTGTGTTAGGAAAGAGGCAAAGGAAAGATCAACGAATATGTAATAAACAGAAAATCCGATGCTTTGCATCCTTGAAAATATCAATAAATTCCATATTTATTACAGGGATGGGTTGTGGAGGTAACATTAGTGGAATAAATGGAAGTCTGACCAGCCCCAACTACCCTGGCAACTATACAGAGCGTCACAGCTGTCGATGGTTCATCACTGCGCCTGCGAGGCGCGTCATCACTGTCAGGTTTGCTGACATCAATATCTTGGGAAGTCCCGATTGTAGCCGTGCGTATGTAGAGGTGCATAATGGAAACACAGATGTATCTCCATCGTTTGGAAAATACTGTGGAAATGTAAGGTTTAATTCTTTGATTATTCAGTAAACACAATGTCCCTTTGAAAACAATAGTGTTTGCAAAGCCGGCCTAGTTCTAATAGTTTCATTTTCAGTTCTAAAGGTCAATACACCAGACATTTTATAGCGTCTCATTATTTTGGGTGGTAATAATATATGTTAAAGCTACAAGTTTTAGTTAAAAATACGTTCCGTCGCTTATTTTATATCAAGTTCTCTTTTATTTCCTCTGAATATATTTCAAGATTTTTCAGAAACGTATTTAATATTGTGCAGTGTTGTTTAGTAGACGTTTTAGACCTACATGTAGTTGCAAATTAATTGTCAAATGCTTGGTATTTAATTTATAATGATTTTGTCATAAATCACCAAATTAACCAAAAATAACTGAATTTGATTTTCAGTTACCTTTCTTAGAAATGGTTCCTGGTCTTACAGTGAAATATGATGTGTATCCTCGGGCTTTCAATTTCTATCTTTTAATGTTTTTGTTTTTGAAGGAGCAACCACCCCCTCTCAGGTCTACCAGTAACAAAATCTTAGTCAAATTCATTACGGATGGATTGCACGCGGCCCCAGGATTCCGACTTCTTTATACAAGTTAAAAGAATGTGTATGGTATATTGTGCTTTCAAAGGACAAGCCATTTGAACCAGAAATTTAAGTTTTTTTTAATTTTAAAAGACGAAAATGGCTGTTGAAGACTGTGATTAACTTTAAATTACATTCCATATAAAGAAAATGTGTAACTTCTCATTTCCATGTCATTAAATACACAACAGTGGTCACTGTTTTCATAATAAATTAATTGCATTTTTTATTTATGTGATTAAAATCAGTACCTTTATATTTCTATAAAGTATTGTAATTTATTACCTAATCAAGTGAATTTGTTGTTTTATTAGAGATTTAATATTTTATTCTATTCTGTATGTGCTTTCAGTTTTTCTTATCTTTTGAAACCAATCTATTTAACTGCTGGTCAATAGACTGCGATCTATTGGACCGCCGGTCAATAGACTGCGATCTATTAAACCGCAACGTATTTCGGAAAAAAATGATCTGGGTTTCAAATTTATATGCAACATTGCGCAGACGTTAGTGGTGAACAAATCATTTTATGTGACCTTTTGAATATTTTTATAAAATGATGTAAGATTTCAATGGTAGGATATTTTATGTAATGAGAGTTACTCTATGTATTAATTTACAATGATGGAAATGCATAATGGTATGGAAACCTGTAATATACAATTGTGGACACTGAATACTGAAAATGGAATTAATCATAAAACAATTATTTAATGCCTGAACAGTCAATAGACCAGAAAATTTTTCCATAATGCAGGGAACAGCTCAGTGTGTTCTATTGCCCTCGGTCGTTAGCTTTTCCCTGCACCAAGGGAAAAATATTCTGGTCTATTGACTGCTCAGGCATTAAATAATTTAGTATAATATATAAATGTATTTGAATAAATTATTTTATTCATTGACTTGCCGATTTTTTTATTTTATAGACGCATCTTTATGAGAGAGAGAGAGAGAGAGAGAGAGAGAGAGAGAGAGAGCATAAATATTTCGATGCATACTGAAGAAGACTTTATTAAATAATGTTATGATACAATATCAGTATTATTTCCAGTTTGCAGATATATTTTCATTTCATTGAATCATTATTCACACTTTTAACAGCTAATTTGAAGGAACCCCACAGAGAATACACTTGACGTGGGAGATCTTTATCTGTAATCACATTGCTTTGGTTTCTACCGCGCTGTTCCTCTGCCATAGTTTTATACTGGCTCTCATAAAAATGACGATTTTTAGAGGCGACGTCATTTATTTTGCTCCCTTTCTGATTGGTCCCTTTTGGAGTAATTGCACATCCATCTTTCTTAGAACTTGCCTTAATTTCCTTTACCATGGGTGGCCTATAAGCCTTCGTAGTTTTTTTCTGTCCTTGGCCATATTTAGAGGGTGTTTTAGGTTTTGACATCTCTTTATTAGGAAGATATCCTAAAGATCTCTCTTTACTTTGACTTTTCCTGTGTCGACGCTCTTTGTTCTTAATATCATGTGCAGAGTGGACTGTTGGTGTCGGCGTCGTCCGCTTCTGGGGCCCTACATTGTCCAGAAGAGAGTGGACAGAACACTGTTTGGCGGCATTTGGATTCACATTATCCTGGGACAATCTTTCTTTTTCTAGACCCGATTTCTCTGAGTCACTGTGTTGAATGCCTTCTTGAATGTTCTGTATTTTTGTAAACTTAATGCTTTCTTCCGACAGATTAGTGGCGATCTTACTTAGTACCGTTGTTACCATTCCTGTTATCACTTCAGATGGCGAAGCAGACGCATTAGTAATACTGCTACCCGTCACTGCCCCCTTGTTCACATTTACCTGGAAAATGCTTTTTGTTACAGTTGGCAAATCTTCCGGGTCAATTCCACTGATTCTGAGGTCTTCTACTGCATTTTTCAAAACCTGTACGATCATTTCTTCAATCGAGCTTTCCATCAATCGTAATTGAGTGATTGGGGTGTCTTCGTTATCACCTATCGCTGATGCAAGGGTGTGTAGCTCCTCCTTACTCAGCTGTTCATGCTGAATGTTATCGATTGTCTTCTCAAGCACTTCCGTCGCAAAGACTTTGACTTCGCTGGTAACCTGATCTGCGATATCGCAATCTGATTCTTTGTCTAGTTTCCCTCGCGAGGGATGGACATTTTCATAGAGATTTGTTATTTCTTTTGTCATATCTGTCATTTTCTGCAGACTTAGACTGGGTCTCTCTTTGACCTCATTAACACTGGATGTACTGCCCTTTTTCATGCCAATACTTGACATATCGCTTTTCGTGAACACATCTACCACGTGTATACTTCCTGTCTTAATGTTTTCGATGATAACATCCAGAGCCGATTCTAATTGTTCGTCATTTTTACTCTCATTTTCTGAGGAAGTAATAACTGATTGAAAAATGTTTTGAAGTGCATTGTGAACAGCCGTATTTGTATACATATCGTCCTTGAAGCTCTTTAAGATGAACAACAGATTCTCTTTCATTTTGGCATCGTTCTCAGACATCGTGGCACCTTTTTCCTCGCAAAAATTTATGATTCCATGGAGAGTCTCCACAACTATTGCTTCAGCCTCCAGTGACACTGTCGATGTCGACTTTTCAGCGCTTTTAGTCTTTGATCGCTCCATTTCTGTTGTCAGATCGCTTATGACAGCTTTTAGCGACTCACTTATCACCCTTTTAGCTTCCATGTCGTCGATTAATATTGGCGATGTGTGCAATGGCGATTCAGGGCTTACTTTCTGTTGATTTATATCTTCCAGTCTGTCTTGCATACTTTCTACAATTTGTTGTAGCTTCTCTAAAACAAAGTCATGGATAATCTGTGAACTTGCTTGTCTAAGAAGAATTTCATCTTCGAGTTCTAGAGAGTTTTCCAGTCTCAGATTACTGATGATGTTGTTAAGTGTATCCAGTATAAGGGCATTCATTTCCTCTGATGGAACGCTGGAGAGATCAGTCCTACTCAAAACAACATCATCAGAAATGAGATGTTCAGTAGACTTAATGTCGCCGTCAGTCCTCAGCAAACTTCCTATCCTTTGAAGTAAGTTATCAACCACTTTATTTGCTATAGTGGATGATGCTGACTGTAGAATGTATTCTTGCTGAACACTTTCAATTTCTTCTTCATGATACTCGATGCAGTCATTGATGAGTGTCTGTATTGTCAGACGAATGAAGTCAGTCATGATACTGGGGTGCACATTCTGAACAGCACATTGCAATAGGTCCACTGCCTTGTTCTTTGACAATTTGCTCTCTTCTAAAAATGCCTTTGACGAGAAAGCATGAACTAAATTCTGAATATGTTGAGAATTTTGTCGTTTTTGCCTAATATCTCTCATTATTTTTCGGATGCGAATTCTTATCATCGGAACAGTTTCCTCTGGTGATATATCCAGCCCAAATGCAGATGACAGAAATTGATTAATAAAATCCTTTGTTGTATTTTTGGAGTTAAGATCGAGAAGAAATTGCTGCATTATTGCTAGAGTCAGGTTCACAACATCACAATGACTTTTGAGGTTGAATATGTCTTTCTCCCTTGAGTCATCAACAACTGATAAGATGTCTTTAGAACTAAGACGTCCACTGACAATGTCTCTTTCTATTTTACCTATTGTTTCCTTGACCAAGTTGTAGGCCAAATGAGAGTCGATGGTTTCTAAATCACTAGAAGTCTGAATTTCGTCATCTGCTGCAAAAGAGTAACATTGAAGGACCGTGGAAAATACCCTCTTAACATCGTTCTTTGTCAAGCTATCTTCCTGCAACAATTGTAAGACCTTTTCTGACATTTTCTCAACCTTTTCTTTGTGCTCATCAGACAAAGTTCCCGAAAAAAGAGAAACCACAGACCAGGCTACGGAGGATATGTCATATTCCCCGGCATCCCCGAGCTTAAAATCGCTTAACATCTCCTTCAATGTATTCTTGGCGAATTCAATTTTTGTGTCCGAGATGGTCGGGGATTCTCTTGTAGACAAATTCTGTGCAGTGGTGGTGTAATAATCTTTAGATATTCGAGTTTTAAGAATACACAACGCTAATTCTTTTATCGCTTCTTTAGTGATCAGGCTTTTATGCAATTCATCCTGAATGGAAAACAGAATGTGTGTCAGAACATCTGAGGCTACAGCAGAACTTGTTAGGGATGGTTTACTTGTAACATTTGGAGAATCAAAAGGCTCTTTCCCTTGCAACAACCTGTTTCCACAGTGAATTAATGAACTTCCCAACTCAAATAATTCTTTTTCGTCAAGGCATCCAGATTCAAAGATGCGTAGCATTTCTGATATGTGCCTCGTGAGCATCTCTTCTTTAGAATCACTTTCGGTTGGTGAAATGTTCTCCCTCACCATTGTTGAGAAAATTTTGGTCATATCTTGTACATCCTCAGCGGTGAACCCATCGCGTTCAAGGCTGTTCCCAACAATTTTCAATACTCTGATTACCAAGTTTGTAACATTTCGAAGGAGAGCCTGATCAGCTTCAAACGTCTTCTCGTCTCGACGTTTCACGGCAGGTAGATTTTGCAAAGCAGCTGTCATTGCGTTTGCGATTCTTTTCAGCGTTGAAAAATCCGATTGCATGACAAAATGCTTAGCATTTTCAATCATGGTTTCAATAGTCAGATCAGACTCTGTTGTTTCGGATCCGAGTTCCTTAAATACGTCAGTTATGTTTGTGACTATCTCACTCATTTTGACATTACTTAATGCAGCGGATGTGAGTCTCAGTGCGGCTTCTTGCAGCTTATTAAAATCTGTTTCGGATTCTTTTACACCTTTCTCAATTGCCTGCCTGAACCTCTCTGTGATCAGACTAATCAGCTCAGTATAAGATTCCAGTATCCCAACCTTGTAAGCGTGATAGGACGACACAACTGCATGGACTACTTTATACAGCGAGGTACTCTCTCCGCCTTCAAGATCGTCAATGACTTTTTCAAAGAATGGTCTCAATGCAAGCGTTTGGATGTCATTACGTTCAACGTCTTCTCTTGTCATCATGGACACCATTTCTGCTACCATGCTTTTAGAAAGCCTACCTTGGTTAATATCGTCCGTTATTTCCTTCAGAGTGTTTATTATCCATTCATCTAACATTGCATCATGGATGGGAGAATCCCTGCCCAGATCGGGGTCTTTAACAATGGATTCTATGGTATCGTCTATGTACTTCTGTCAAATAAATCAGTTTTTTTACTATTGGAAGAGGAAGCCTAGCTTATATAAATATATATCAATAATAAAACATATATATCAATAATAAATTGTCTTGAAGAAGCAGATAATGTCGGTTTTACAAGCGCTTCATGTTTCGTTTGATCTACTGATCGTGCCTCATCACCATCATCCGGTTTATCAGATCAAGTTACTGCAAACATATTTTTTATCCTCGGAGTCATAATCTCAAATCGGAATTACAATGTCTGTTCGAATTGCAGATAGAAAATTACGCGGATTCTTTGGATTGCATTTTAAGTAAGCTGTTACAAATTTCCGCGGATAAATTATTATAAATTAATTATATATCCCTTTATTATCATCTAAAAATAATCAAAGAAATTTTTGGAATCAATAAATAGCATATAGTCTTTATTTATTTGAAAAAACTTAAAGGGGGACTTCTCTTGACATGCAAGAAAAAAAAAAGTGAATGTGCTCTACGTCATCAGTTTCAGAGAGTGGTGATATGGATTCAGAAAACCAAAGTATGGTGACACGGAACGTTGATCACACAGTCAGGTCAATGTGTGAAATGAAAAGTAAAATTGAAAGAAAAATACGTGGGTATATAATATATGTAATTCATTTGCAGTTACAAGTATTGATTTATTTTAGTTCATACATGCAGAAATAAGATATTGAAAGATACTGAAGATAAACATAAATATATACATTTCCAAATATTTTTCCTTAAGATTCTTTGCAAATAAGACGACTGTTCATTTTCTCATGAACTATCATGGATGAGCATGAATATCTCCATTGTTACGTCATAATACCGTACTTGACGTCAAAACTATAGTGCAAACTGTTTTGCTTTAAAAATGGCATTTGAACTGTAATTTGTGGCAACTCATCAGAAAAATAATGTAAATATAAGAAATGAATTTAATTTTTGAAGATTCATGAGGTACATGAACTACAACGCTTCAAACCAGCATAATTGTCATGAAGCGCTAACGCGCTTCATGAAATATGCCGGCGTGAAGCGTCGAAGTTCATGTCCTCATGAATCTTCAAAAAATGAATTCATTTCTTGAATAAATACCTACCTGTAGTTGTTCATCATCTGAAGAAATGCTGATATCCGAAAAGCTGTCATCTCTCTTCCGACCAACTAAAATGGCTGCCATTTCAGTCACTTCCTCGTGAGGGACGGCTCCAGTTTTAATGTCATGGCGAACTTTATTCAGTGTAAATTCTACCACGTCGTCTGCAATCCACTCAGACTCCTCAGCATGCAGTCGACAGGAGACAATGTCCATGGCATATCTGGACAACTGACTAACTTCTTCTTCTGTCAGACGCCCTCTGTTTAGGTCGTCAAGGAGACGGTTAAGGAGGTTCTCCACCAGCTTCATTTCTGACGACTTCTCTGTCATGGCGAACCTCTTGACTAGGAAAGGGGAGGGGATAGGAGTCAGCACGTGCTCACTAACTGGACGGAGAATCGCTCGATCAACTTCGCGGTTAGGGGGAATGGCGTCGTCTTTACCAAACTTAACTTTGCCTACAAATAACACTTTCTCAATTATCATTGCTTTTGTATGAATGGAAGAAAAAAATACTTCCTATGTATCTCCCATGGTTTGTATTTTGATGTGATTTTTATGAGTTGTGTGCTTTCTTTCTCCTAGCCCTGGTGACGGGATAGAAACCACTCAACGGGTCTGAAAAAAATTATATCCAACCACAAAACATGGGCGAATACTTGTATCGCGTGCTTTACATATAGCTATCATATGTTTTAAAACTGTTTTTATACATGAATCCACTTTATTTTACTTCATCACGTTCATGCAAAAAAAACATTGTGACATCAGAACTATTTATAACGATATCAAATATTACCTAGGATATATCAACTGTATAAAAAAATGTGTAAAATATTGGAACACCTGGCCCTCTCTCAAGTTTTCGACCCAAGCCCAAATATTGCTTATATTTCAAGACATCATGTATTTTGTTAATCCTGAAACATAGTTTTACATTTGACTTCTAAACCGAGTTTCGGTATCTTGAAAACTTATATCTTGAATGCCATGGATATGTCGAAGTGATTTGGAAGTCTAAAACCACTTATTCTTTAAGATGTTTACCCTTTAAATCTCGAATATTCGGAAATCTCAAGTTTTCTGCCAGTCCCATTGAGTACGTACTAACGAGGTTTGATTGTTTTTCCAACAAATTTGGGCACAACTTTAACAACATGGTGTAAACAATGAAACATGAATAACGTCACATGTACAGTGCTTTTAAAAAGACACAAGGCTATATTTTCGGCATTGACTGAACATTGGGTTTCCTTTTTTCGATCAATGCAGGCGGTGGTTGCAAGATAAATGATAATAGCATGTTCAGAAATGTTGAGCTTTGGTCTGGTATAAATCTTACCTTTCTGTTCATCAGATCGCATTTGTAAATAAGCTGGATAGACGTCCTACAATATAAACAAGACCTAAGAACAATTATTTAAAAAGTACTGATATTGGAATAAAGATAAAGAAGTATTTAATTGTTTGATAGCAATTTATATTTTTACTGCTAGTATTTTTTTTTTACTAAGGCGTGTTCTGTACTACCAAAATTATATGACATCGAAACTATTATATGAGATACTGTCTACAGAGTCCTTGATGTCAATATCGCTGAATCGGTTTAAATTAATGCAAATTAATATAAATTAAATCAGAGTATCTCGATATGAATCAGTTTATGTAAATTAAATCAGGCTCCGGGGCCATAAAACAGAGACGAGTTAACTTTTGGTCTTAGTCTCACTTTTACAAAAGGAATATATAGTGGAAAAGTGAGACTGAGATCAAAAGTGAGCTCGTCTCAGTTTTATGGCCCCGGAGCCAGACCTTCACATGAGTGAAATAGCAAATGTAAGAAGGATCAAATAATAGACTGGTGAACAAACTAATATTAGATATTCTAAATAAAGAATGCAATGACAGAGGATTTGCTCACAGTTTTGACTTTGTGGAGAACGGAGTCTACAATCTCTCTGGCTTTTCTGTTTATCTCTCTTTCGTTAGTGTATCCAGGCTGTAAAACACAAGGGAGACTCTAAATTCCTTACATTAAAAATTATTCCCCCTTTACTGAGCGAAATTACACTGAAACATAAAAACAAAACGAAGTTTAACGATGGTTTTGTAAAATATGTACCGCATCTTCACCAAGTTTCTTTATTTCAATGTCCAGTGCCTCGTTTATCATTTGCAGAAACTGGCCAGTGGATTGTTTCCCTAAAATATAAAACAACCTTTGGTCAGCAGGTCAGTTTAATCCTCCGAACATAGAGACCAGTGAAGGTTGACACTAGCATAAATCATAAACATTTTTATCAGAAGTGCAATTCGACTTGAATTCAACTTGATTTTAGACTCTTCTATTTGACACTTGCTTTCATTATTTTGACATTTATGTACATGTGTAATTATTCCATTTTTTCATATAGAATACTTGTACATAGTGTCCTGTCAAAACTCCGAATCGTGTAATTTCGGGGGTGTACTCACAAATTGAAATCAATCAACCATAAAGAAAATGAAAAAAAGGTGAAGATAAAGAACAGAGAATGATATAAAACAAGAGGCCCAAGGGCCTTAACGGTCACCTGAGTATGATACAACAATTTCAAGGATGCATAGAGTATTAAATGAACTGAAAGGTGAAGCTTTGTTGCCCAAAAGCAAGAAAAATATGGTGATCATGATCAACAAAATAATTGGTCTTAATATTCATTAACAGTTCATAAATTAGGTTCTAATCTGTTCCCCATTTTATCACTATCACTATACAGTATATTAACAAATTATCAATGCTTCTGTACTATTTTAATCCTTTGTTGAAATCTCTTACATTGGCATCTCTTGGTCTTTGATGAATATTTAATAAGACAAGTAATTTTTGTCTCATTTTTATTTATCTACTACTTACAAGTCTATCTGATCATTAAAACTATGAAAGTACTTTTTGTATTATACAATAAAAGTTTTTGTATAATTCTCTTGTTCTATTTACCTTTCAAGTACATTATTTACAGTGATAAATTATCAAAAGTAAATGGCAAAGGGGAATAACTCCTCTCAGTAGAATACAAACTAATAGAGCCCTGGCCAGGACCAGAACACTTGACCAAATGGTCCAGATGTTCAAAAATCTGGTAAAAATTCCCTTCCTTAAAACTTTTACTCTGTTTGCCTCAGATATGCCCAGGTGCGGAGAAGATTTTTAAATAAATAATGCATTTTTACTACAGATTCACTATATTATCAATAGAGCCCCAACCCCCAACCCCCCACCCCCAAAACACCAGAGCTTCTGACCCTGGGACCATATGTTTGCTCATCATCACTTTGTTTATCTGCTTAACACTAAGGAGCAAACAGGATTATTTAATAGAATTAATGCATTTTCACTAAATTATCAAGAGCCCCACCCTCACACCAGCACATCTGACCCAGGGGTCATGAAATTCACTACTCTGGAAGAAGCACACTTGCTCATCATAACTATACACTTAGCTTCTTTGCTTTTTTAACCAGAAGAAGAAAAGAATATTTTCAAAGAAATTTTGCTTTTTCACTTTATAATCAATAGAAGCCCCCCCCCCCCCTTCCCCCTCACCAGAACCCTTAAACCCGGGGTCATAAAATTCACAATTTTGGAAGAGGCATCCTTGTGTATCATAACAATGTACTTTAGTCTGTTTAAGCAATACCCAGGGGCAGAGAAGAAGATTTTCAAAGAAATAATTCACCTTCACTATAGGATCTATATAGCCCCGCCCTAGCACCAAAACTCCTGTCCCCGGGGCCATGAATTTCACAATTTTGGAAGAGGCATCCTTGCTTATCATAACAATGTACTTAGTTTGTTTAAATAATACCCAGGTGCTGAGAAAAAGATTTTTAAAGAATTAAAACATTTTCACTTCATAATCAATAGAGCCCCGCCCTAACACCAGAACCCCTGATCCAGGGGCCACGAATTTCACAATTTTGAAAGAGGCATCCTTGATTATCATAACTATGTATTTAATGTGTTTCAATAATACCCAGGAGTAGAGAAGAAGATTTTCAAAGAATTAATGCATTTTCACCATATAATCAATAGAGCCCCACCCTAACACCAGAACCCCTGACCCAGGGGCCATGAAATTCACAATTTTGAAAGAGGCACTCTTGCTCATCATAACTATGTACTTAGTTACTGAACTTAATACCCAGGAGCAGAGAAGAAGATTTTCAAAGGATTAATGCATTTTCACTATATAATCAATAGAGTCCCGCCCTAACACCAGAACCCCTGACCCAGGGGCCATGAAATTCACAATTTTGGAAGAGGCACTCTTGCTCATCCTAACTATGTACTTAGTTAGTTTATTTAATATCCAGGAGCAGAGAAGAAGATTTTCAATGAATTAATGCATTTTCACTATATAATCAATAGAGCCCCACCCTAACAGCAGAACCCCTGATTCAGGGGCCATGAAATTCACAATTTCTGAAGAGGCACTCTTGCTCATCATAACTATGTTTTTAGTTAATTTCTTTAATACCCATAAGCAGAGAAGAAGATATTCAAAGAAATAATGCATTTTCACTATATAATCAATACCCCCCCCCCCCCTTCACCAAAACCCCTGACCCAGGGGCAATGAAATTCAAAATTTCTGAAGAGGCACTCTTGCTCATCATAACTATGTACTTAGTTAGTTTATTTCATACCCATAAGCAGAGAAGAAGATTTTCAAAGAAATAATGCATTTTCACTATATAATCAATAGAGCCCCCCCCCCCTTTCACCAGAACCCCTGACCCAGGGGCCATGAAATTCACAATTTTGGAAGGGGCATTCTTGCTTATCATAACTGTGTACTTAGTTAGTTTATTTTATACCCAGGAGCAGAGAAGAAGATTTTTGAAGAAATAATGCACTTTTACTATATGATCTATATAGCCCCACCCTAGCCCCAGAACCCCTTACCCTGGGGCCATGAATTTCACAATTTTGGTAGAGGGCTCAATGCTTATTACAATCATGCTAACAGTTTGACTGCTTGATGTCCAGGAGTAAAGAAGAAGATTTTTAAAGATTGCATTAATTTTAGTGGTTTTTGCCCCACCCCTCAGGCCCCAGGGGGGCAGGGACCATGAAATTCACAAATTTTGTCCCCCTTCACCCATAGATGTTATATGCCAAATTTGGTTGAAATTGGTTGAGCGGTTTCAGAGAAGAAGCTGAAAATGTTCAAATGTTAACGCACAACGCACGACGCACGCCGACGGACGAAAACGGATAGCAATAGGTCACCTGAGTGACTCAGGTGACCTAAAAAAATTACAAACAATGCAACAAGAAGGTGGGATCAGGTGCCTAGCAGGAGTAAATAATCCCTGTTGACCGGTCACAATGGCAGTGAGTCCTATGTATTGATTAGGTAGACGGAACATTACTAAGTCAAATTTAGTATAAATGCAAAGTCCTAACAATTGATATTAAACACGTCAGCCAAATTACGACCCAACGATAGGTTGTATTTGTTGACAAGGTCATTAAAAAGTCCATAGAATTTACGAAATGCTGAATTTAAACGAAGTAGTTAAAATCCCTTTAATATCAACGTATCTGTCAGTATCCTGTCTCCATTTAAAAAAATGATCGTACTTAGAGCATGCTCTTGAGTATCGAATAAATTGGGAGATGTTAACACCACATGCAGGTGACAGCAGAATATTACTACATAAATTAAAAAAGTTGATAATGGAAAAGCTGGAGTCATGAAACTTCTTTTGTCATACAGTTTGGTTGTTATTTGGCTCTTATCGTCTAGATAGTAAGTAAAACATCCGAATATGAAACAGATGCGGCAGACTCTAGTGTCCTTTATTTCAAATTTACTGAGATATATCGAGTCAACATATGAATAGAAATAACTATTGTTAATTGATAATACGTCGTCGATATATTTGAATTGAAGGCCACAGCAAGTGTTTTCTTCTTCTCATGTAGAAGTTTTTAAATAAATTCTGCTTCATAGGAATATGCTATATGCAAAACCTAACCTCATCGAAAGTTGTCTCCCCTTATTTACCTGTGAACCATAGATCAGACATCGAGATTTCTCTAAGAATGTCCTCTAATGCCCACAGGCTCTCATATCGACTTCCGTAGCGTCTACCTGAAAACAAAGAAATTATCGAGGAGATGAGTTGATGTTTGAAGGGTAGCAGATCTAGAATAAGGGTACTGAAGTATTTCTTTCATTCAGTTTTGCCTAATTTCTTGTTGGTTTCTGCCCTTTTTTACATGCAAGACATGTAATTCAGGAATATAAGTCGAACAAGTTTCCTTGAATATTGAAATGGTTAAGGCACAAAGCGCCTAGTCATTCCAATACCTTCTTTTGAGATTTATATCTTATTCAGGACATTTTTTTCTGTTGTCAGTGCCCTATCATTAATAAATACCGGTATCTGAAATATATAACGTTTTGATATTTCATCTTTTCGGGTCCCGAATTTGTGATACCAGTCAAATTTTAAACGAAATATTTCATGGTTATCATTCAAGTCTAATATTTAAACAATGGACCCCATGGGTATCTTTCAAGAGCCCTACCTTTTCCTTTTTTCATATATTCAGATTGAGTAGTATTTTTAGCATTCTATAGGAAAATTCAGAGAAAATTCAATAACTGAGGACAAGAAAAAATTTACAGCCAGATTTTAATTTGGGGCGCCTGAGAGATTTCTAAAATTAGATAGATTTCGGATATTTCGGACTTAAAGGTCGATGATTTCTTTACATGCAAAGTAGCTCAGGAATAACACGAAATCTTAAGGGATACATCCGAAGATGACTAATTTTCTTATCCTCTCATAGACTTGGGTCTCACTAAATTGTAGCTAACTTGTTATTCATCACTTTTTACAGTCGAGTACATGTATTTGGATAGATATTAGAATATGCTGTAAGAATAAAAAAATATTGGATTGGTATGGTTTAAATTCTAGAATGTACTGTAGGAATAAAAATATAGGATTGGTATGGTTAGATTTTAGAATATATAATGTAAGAGTCAAAATATTGGATTGGTATGGTTAAATATAGCAAAAACGTAATACTGCTAAGATTAATTATTGGACTCGCAGCATTCAAGCAGAAAATTCTTACTAATGGTGGACTAGATAAACGAAAGACGACGTCATAAAAATACTTTATTATAACGATGTTCTTTTACCAAGAAAAGTAGTCGGTATATATTTCAAGCTAAAATTAAGCTTCAATGTTCTCTAGATATTTTTGGCCGTCTATGTCGTGTCGTTTGATACACCTGCTGCTGAATAAGGTGACTATTGTTACGTGTATACCTCCCCTTCTGAATAAGGTGACTATTGTTACGTGTATACCTCTCCTTCTGAATAAGGTGACAATTGTTACGTGTATACCTCTCTTTCTGAATAAGGTGACAATTGTTACGTGTATACCTCTCTTTCTGAATAAGGTGACAATTGTTACGTGTATACCTCTCTTTCTGAATAAGGTGACTATTGTTACGTGTATACCTCTCCTTCTGTTAGCCATCTTGAGTTTCACCAGAGCCAGTCGTCTGGACAGCCTCGCCTTGTGTCCCCGTTCCCTCCTCTCTCGTTCTTCTCTAGACTGGCGCTGAATCTCCTCCAGGTTGACTGTTAAAAGACAAGACAGCACATAAAACTATCTCTCAATACAACTCATCCATCGTAGTTCCTCCTCGTGAGCACATCACCTCAAAACACAACATTAATTCCTTTCTCTTTTTCAGACTCGATGAACTGAAAAAAGAAAAAAAATCTTTTGGGTCTGTTTATATAGATTATCACCTCTGAGTTTGTCCCGCTGGTGACTGAACTTCCTGTCCCGAGCCTCCATGCTCTTTTCTCTCCTCTTATCCTCCATCATGCGGATTTCATTTTCCGCTGCCATCCGCCGAATTTGCTCCTCCTTCCGTGTGTTCCACATCTCCGTAATCTGTAGAAGCAAAATTATTGGTGAATTTATGAAAATTTGCGAGAAAGTCCATTCATAAACATTTCCAGCGCAGTTCATTACACTGTAGACACACCAAAGTATTCACGTATATGTACGTGGGAAAGTGATAGCTAAGATTATTTATGTATTCTTAGGCGATTTCTTACATTCATTCATGATTAATAATTTACACCAAATAATTTTTAAAAATCCACTTTAAAAGTTAATATACACAAATATGTCCCTGCAGATGACTTTTCATATGAAATAAAGTTTAAACAAGCTGATCATGCATTAATTTGGGATGCAGCTGAAGGAAATGTGATTAAATTTAAATGACAATTAACATTAAATTAATTTAGGCCATCTTAGTGTCTGTAAATATAACCGACATTCGTCAACTCAGTCCCAATAAATGTATTTTTATTACTTTTTTCTGGTCTGTGAGGAGTTTGTTTCTTTTCCTTTCCTCCAGTCGAAGCTTGCGGAGTTTTTCTCTTTGCTTCCATCGGCGAGTAAGCATCAAATTTTTCCTCATCGTCTGAAATAATATCAGATTCCCTATCAACAATAAAGTATTTTGTACATGTAAAATAGAACTGAAACCATTCTTCTGTCTCTCTCTCTCTCACCTTATCCAGGTGTTCGGCCGCCATTGCACGTCGCTTCTGTAGGATTTGGCGTCGTCTAAACTCTCTCAGTCGCTTCTGGAGCTCGATTTCCTCCAGTCTCCTTTTTAGCCTTGCTTCCTTCTCTCTGATCTCCCTCTGAATCCTAGATTGATATCAAAGAATAAGTCTTACGAAGAAATCGCCACATTATCAGGATTTTGTGATATCCTTCCACTTGTGTAGAGGGAGAACGGTATCACCAAAACTTGATATTGTGAAGATGATTCAAACGGAATCTTCATGATTTGAAGCTCATTCTTACAGTTGAAAATACTTTATAATGTTACAAAATTTTAGGACAGATTGGAAAATAATCTTGAAAAAGAAAATGAAATTCTTATAGTAAATATGAAATTATTGTAAACTACATGATAAAGAGTTATTGTTGTTTTTGAGGTCATTACGATGATTTATCTACTCGATGAGTACAATATAAACCTTGCCCGAATATTGTACATTGAGAGTCGCTAATAGTTGATCATCGTATTGACCGAAAACAAAAGTGAAAGTTTCCTTGTGTTATTATTGGCCTAGGGAGCACGGTTGTGATAGAGAGTGCACGTTAGGGTATGAGACTTTTTTTTTTAGTGCATGCAGTTCGATAGAATAATTTCCTAATTAACACGTGTGCAAACATTCAGACCTCGTTTTGGTCTCTTCTCTCATCTGTTGAAGTCTCCTCCTGACCTGCTCTCCCCGGGACTCGGACCTTTCCGGGTGTTCTCCCCCAGACATTCCTCGGAGTCTCCTCACCCCCTCCATTTCCTATAGGAGAATATTTCATAAGACTTCAAATCTGAGTCCAAAATTTAAGTTTCTGCAAAATTCATAGATGCATTAAGAAACTGGGAAAGATAGAATTCAATACATGTATAATAAAATTTTATGAATTAATATAACTATAAACTGAGAAATCTGAATTAATAATTTAGTCTTTTCAGAGAGAGAGAGAGAGAGAGAGAGAGAGAGAGAGAGATTTAAAAATAAATCAAAAGCTAATGAGAGAGACGGTGCATGACCCTTAATATCAAACCTTCCGTTCCTTGGCCATTTCCAAGAGACATATTTTCCGGAGGTACTGTCTGTACTGGTTGAACTCCCGGAGGTTACAGATTACCTGCCTGTCGTCTGTAATGAAGCCGTTCTTACGGAGGTGGCGCTGCATTCGCGGTATATTAAAGTGATTCTTCAGATGCGGATCATGCAGTGGTTGATATTCATTTGATATCACGTGACAGTATGGATCAGTTAGGTCAAATTCAAAGTCAACAACTTTGTGTTTCTGAAAAAAAAACAAAACATAAATTGAAGAAAAAATAAAATAAAATAATTTAAAAAAAAAATAATAAAATGAAAATAAATGGTTGACTATAGAATTATATGTATAGTGTTGATTTACAGAAGAATAATACCTGTCTAAAAAATTGTTATTATTCAAAATGTTCATTAGTTCTTTGTATATGGCAAAACACTATCAAGAAATCTGTAAATAGATTTGTGGATTGGAAGTTGGATGTTTGCTTTCTTCCTTGGATTGAAGTAATACAGACATGAAAACTTAATTTACAATTTATTCTATAATATTTACATTTGTAAATGTTTTCTTTTATTACTTTTTCAACAGTGAAATACTGTGATTTATTTATTGAATAAAAGTGATATTCTCTCACAGTGTGAAAGAATACCAAAATGATATTCTCTCACAGTGTGAAAGGATATCAAAGTAAGTAAAAAATAATTTCTGGCCTGTCATAAGATATAGATAGTAACTAAACATCTTGATAGAGCCAAAACTGCAATTTTCTTCCCAAATATATCGCTAAAATCCATGCTATGTAATGTTTTTAATCTCACAACTGCTAAGCTATGACGTCTCAACTGCTCAACTATGACCTCAAACCTAGCTATGACACTGTGCTAAGAAAAGACAGAGGCATAGGGAAAATCAAAGAAAATGTAATAAACAGAGAATTCAATGTTTTGTAGATGAAAATGGAATTTATTTCACTCGTGAGACAGGATTTTTTGTTATTTTCACTCGTGCTTCGCACTCGTGAAAATGTCAAAAAATCCTGTCCCACTCGTGAAATAAATTCCATATTCATCTACAAAACATTGAATATCCTCTATTTTTATAACACTATTAAAAGCAACGCGTATCTATATCCGTATAAACACGGGTTCCTCGCGTCACAAACGTTCGACGTAATTTCTCAGTGACGTCATAAAGGGTCGACGTACAATCTATGGATCAAATACGTGCCGTTGAGTTTGAAAAATAAAACATTTCACACGTTAAAGATTATAATCAGGAAAAAATAAAATATGAATAAGTCATAAATGTAAATATAAGTAATAATGTATCATTTTTAAACATCTATCGGGATATAAATACGGGTTGGTCACGAGATCAAATTCCATAAAGCCCGAAGGGCTTTATGGTAAATTGGATCTCGTACATGTACCAACCCGTATTTATATCCCGATAGATGTTTAAAAATGATACATTATTTCTCAAATCATGCATGAATATTTACATTACAAGTTATATTTACAGTACTTTCTTTCGTTTGTAAGGGATTTATTGTACAGAGAGGCGTGGCAGTCGAGTCGCCCAGCGACGAGACTGTCACGCCTCTCTGTACAATAAATCCCTTACAAACGAAAGAAAGTGTCTGTAAATGTCTTGTGTCATGGTCATTTGCATAGTCACTCCTTCAGCACCTAACTGCACGCGTCATTACGTCATAGGCCTAGGTCCATCGTAAGTGAACAGGCCCGGTGTTCAAACAAAGCAGTAAGTACGAAGGAGATGGTTGCATTGAAAAATCAAGCAATGTTAAACGAGTGTGAAATTGTATTTGATGGATTAATTTAAGCGGTATGAGTATTTCAAAAACCATAACAAATACAGGCACAATACTTGAAACCTGGATCCGCCCGCACTACGACCCGCTACATTACTGTTACTAGGGATACGCTTGCATTTCCTGAGGAAATCCGAGTCAAGTACTGTAGCCACAGGTATCAAAATTATGGAATGTAGTGTTAAATAGTCCAGATACAAGTATATACGAACATGTATCAGTTTGCATGTAACTCAAAGAACTCAGAAAACAGTTGCTATTAAGGGAATCATCGAACTGCGCGTTTTCGATATTGTTAGATTTCAGTTATCTGTTTTAATTTGAATACATGTATTTCAAGAAAGTCTGTGTATTTTTAAGATATTTGTTTAAATTAGTTAACTAATGAGTTTACATGTAATCCTCATGAAAATGGTTTTCACGTATCATGCATTTTCAGATCGAAAGGGGGGGGGTGAATTTTGTGAGGTTTCTCAATTTTCCTCTGGATAGGTTGTATATGCTTACAGAAATTGAAGAAAAAAAATTCAAAAGTATTGAGTTCCTTTGGAAGTTATTGTACAGTACATTGGAAGTTATTGTACGGCTATAAGCTCCGCCCACTAGAATTCATAGTACGTTGGAATTCAGCCAAAGGTTTTCTATTTGATTTAAAGTATGGCTAACATCAAAAGAAAAAGTACCGCACCATGACACAAGTATATTTTGCATATAAAATGTGTGGAAATTTATGGCATTCAAAACACCATAACACGGACAGGGGGTCAAAAGGTTAAAGCATGCGTTTTATTTGGACGTCACAAACGTCTAACGCCGTGGAAGTGTAACGTCATAAGCGAAAATCAAAAATCACGCTCACATTGAACAGACGTTGTTAAATTGGCTCTTCCATTAACTGTAACTTACTTGAAGGATAATAAAGGGATTTCTAAATATAAATCACATTTGCAGTCAATGCAAGGAGTTTAAAAATGTAAATATAAGCATTGAATCATTATTTTTTGAAAGATATAGTCTCATAACTGCAACGGTGTGTGCAAGCAAATTTTCATAACGCGCTAACGCGCGTTACTCAATTTGTTTGCACACACCGTTGCAGTTATGAGACTATGTCTTTCAAAAAATAATGATTCATTGCTTAATTATTATATTAACAAACAATTTCGGGGGTTTTAATGGGATCCGTTTTATTTCTCCTTTTCTCTCTTCTTTGTTTTTAAGAATAATCAAATAATATTGATTGTAGTTGATTGATTCCACATTATGAAAGAATAATTTATTTAAAAACCGCCAAACATGTAAGTGAAGGATGTTTTTTGCTATACAGTAGATTATTTCTAAATCCAGGCCCCTAGAGCGCGGGCGGGGCGTTTTTTCAGAGTAAAGTCTTTTGATAAAGTAATTTTTCATTTAGATGCCCCCCCCCCCCCCAACTTTTTGTTGCTGTAAAGTCGATCACTGGCAAATTCCAGAATTTGACAAAAGAAAAAATAATGTACCAAAAAGTAAGAAATAGGTACAACCCCCAACCCCGAGATAGGACTTTTCGAGTCGGGCAGTGTATGTATTTTTAATTTTTATTTTTCATAAATTTATATTTTTTGCTTGTCAGATTTTTTTCGGAGGTTGTCCCCCTCCCCCACTTTTAAAACCGTTGCTACGGGCCTGAGATCATAATAATTTTAAAACCAAAGTCGTTCTACGTGCACTCTAAAAATTGACAAACATTATACACACTTACATTTCTTTTTCATCTACATGTAATCTGGTCCTCATGTGCAGAAAAAAAGTAGAAAAGGGAGATCGACAAAATTCGTATGTTTATCTGATAGGCCTTAATCAACATTTCAAGGACTAAATTATTCTTGCAGGTGTTAATGAATTAAAATTGGTCCCCAGTATTTTGTGGTGGCTTTGCATATTAGGGGACGAAAATTTGATTGGGGGGGGGGGGCTGGCAAAATTTTTCCAGTCAGAGTATTTATTTTCATGCCAGTCAAGGACGGATTATTTATTTTCAAGATGATCAAGAACAGATTATGTATTTCCTTCTTCATGAAAAAATTAAGGAGTTTAAAAAAGGAAAACGCCCAAACTTTAAAACTTTTTCATATGGGGTGAGGGGGGTATCAATTCAATTCAGTTCAATTTATTGATTCACCAAACATGTTGGCATACAACCATGTGACATACAGAATGAAAAGTACATTCAATTTGTTTTTGCCAATCGAGGACAGATTCTTTATTTCCAAAATCTGCCACCCCCCCCCCCCCTTTAGAATCAAATGGTCGTCTCCTAATACCGGGTATTCATCCAATGATCAAAATTGTAATGTTTCGTCTTCTATAATTTTTGCTTAACTTTTAACCTGGTGTGTGAGAAGCTCATTGTATACGCATGTATATATACACATGGAACACGTGAAATTAAAACAACACTTACTGGTTCGCATAACTTGGTAGTACAAAGTTTGATGGATCCCTTTGGAATCGGTACCATGGGGAATTTAGAATACAGCGGGAGTGACTCCCATGCTGGTAGCCCGTCACCGGCAGGTAGACATTTCTCCCTCTCCGTAGTTTTGGGTCTTGGATATAACGTCAGTCGATCCATTCTTTTTTTTCCAGCGGTTTAGCGTTAAAAAATTCAAAAAACACTGTTAGATAGGTGTCATCATCGCCATGTTGTTTTTGCCTATGTTGTTGCTATAACAATCTAAGTAACGCCATTTAATTATGACGTCACTATGCCAAGTCAAACGTTACGTTTTCCAGCGTAAGTTCTTACCCGTGCAAACGTAATTCTGCAAAGTGGAATTTCTATACCTAGGGCATCCATGGGCGCTTGGTATCCGGAGGGTGTGTTTTGTGTAATAGGTGTTTTTTCTAGGTGCGTCTGAATACACTCATTAATTAAAATTTTTAAAAAAATTGCTGAAATTAGCACGTTTTAAAAATATCATATTACTGTATAATTATAAAAAGATTTTTATATATTGTAATATGATATTTTCAGCGATTTTTTTTAATTTTATTTTTATGAGTGTATTTAGACACACTAGAAAAACAAATAATACACAAAACACACCCTCCGGGAACCAAGCGCCTATGTGGTCAGGAGTCCTAAGTCAACACGTTGCGTGTTGACTCAGGACCCCTGAAGTTGTGAATATGTACCTAGGGGTACGGGACATATACTCTGTATTCATTTTTTTCCTCGCGTGCATATTCTGTATATATATGTGGAAAATATTTAGTCTTATGCATATCATTAAGCCTAAATTGCATCTCATAATTTAGATTGATACATCATACATCAAATGAAAATCCACTCACCCTTCTTGCTACTTGTGATTTTTTTCTGGTTTAATCATTTTATTTAAAAAGGATTCTATATATTAATGGTTTCCTCTCTAACCCCCGTACTTTGTCTAACTTATTAAAACCGTGAAACGAGATCTCTTTTTCACACACTTTTTTTTTTTAATTTCGATCGGGTTTGAAGTCCTTTTCACTAACGTGTTTAGTGGGCGCAGACATATTTTACGTTAAACTCAAGTCAATGGGATTTGGGTGATGAAACCGGATCATTATCACTAAAGAAAATGAAACTGTTTACAGATCAAGGAAATTTTAAGTCTTTGAAAGTGATAGCAGCTCTGGAGTTAACTGGGCTTCGTTATACACTTGAGAAGTGCGGACATGAAGGTAAAGTATGTCTTTATTGTCAGCTGTTTACTAGACGGTTGGCTGTTTGGATAATATTTAATAATCGCTATGTATAGATATCAATACATAAAGTAATTGTTGAAATGAATTATACGTGGAAAAAAGTCGAAGTTAGTGTAAAATAATCTCTCAAACCAGCGGCAGTTATTTTTTTTTCATTACATATTATATTCCCTGCTGCAAAAAATACTCTTAAATACCCCCCCCCCCCCCCTTAAAAAAAAAAATAAATAGAAAAAAAAATGAAAGAAACTTCTCTTTACTGGTTTGTGCTATCTGGGTCCTGGGTATCCTGGGTATTGACGACTCTGGGTATCGACCTGATTTAACTCAGTTGTTTTAGCATCTGTCTTAGACAGGTCCAGCACAATCTCTTGATTAAGCTATATAGCTTGAAATAGCTATATAGCTTTATTAAGCTATTCAAAATAGCTTGATAAAGCTATTTATATGCAGATTTTCACAAAAATGTTATATGTACAAAATAGACAAAAAGTCGCAAGTATTTGACTATTCATATATGTAATATGGGTTATCAAATCAACAACCCAAATCAAAGACAGTTCAAACATTACAGCATTTGAATACTTTCAAGCAAAAGATGAATTTCCATTGTTTGGGTAACTGTACACTACCTTGTGTGCAGTGAGGCATGGATAAGTAAGATTGCTTCTCATTGTAATGAATTATTACCAATCAATTATCTTGTTGACCATAATTGGCCTCCTTTATAATTTCATTGAAGAAGTAACTGTATCAATTGCTTTGTATAGCCCCAAATCTTTTAGAACTTTGAGTACAAAGTCTCTTTAGGAGATGCAATTTGATGAGTGATTTTTACATGCATTATTTTCATAAGAGTTCAAGGTTGAATATCATCACTGCACCAAGGTGCGACTTTTTGTGCATACTTGGAAAATAACACATTTGAGAAAAAAGTGTGATTAAATAGCTAAATCAAGCTATTCTGAATAGCTTAATAAAGCTATATAGCTAAATCAAGCTATATAGCTTAATCAAGAGATTGTGCCGGACCTGTTAGAATGCAAGAGTTCTGGGTTTGATTAATTACTGGTCCAGTCATAAACTTCCTCCTTTCCTGTAACATTTAGTGCCGTTGAGGGAGGAATGTAGAGGTTTGGATTGTGGATAATAGCCTGGATAGCTCATTGGTTACATAGAAGTGAAATGGTTCACCACGGTATCAATTCAGCGCGGTATTTTTTCTCGGTTTGATACACGGTGCAAAATCTCCACTTTCGGTCCGGTTCATGTTTCAATTGGGATTGTTATTCAATCAGGTTTAATATAGGTAAAACACCTTACTCTGCATAAATTAAGTATTAAAAATGTTAAGATTTGAGGACTGATAGTTTTTAAATAATCTTTAACAGTCAAATCATATTAATCAATTTCTTCTGGTCAATTTGCACATAAATTAAGTGGCTAGATTTACGAAAAGAAAACATGGAAGTACGCTGAATTTGATTTCTTTCCATCAAAATGTATCATTTTGAAAATAATCGTACCAAAACAAAATTATATGGTACGTATTGTATCGTGAAGGAGGGGTATCGTTTCACCCCTATCAATGGTTAGAGCACTGACTAACTGACTTTCAATGCTGTTTGCAGGGGTCCAGGGTATGATTCCCACTTCAGTCATAAATTTTCTATTTCAATGTTGTATCAGGATCCTTCTTTATACTAATTGTAATAAAATAATGATATAATTACACTTAAAATGAAAATATGCTTCTATGGTTTAACTCAATATATTCTAGGCAAATATTGAAGGAAACTATGTAAATCCAAAATACAATTTCTGAGCCAAATATATCAGTGTGTGTTTTCAGATTTGGGGTGTCTAACATTCTAAATTAATAAATGCATACAAGAATAACTTGAAATGGCCTTATATAGGTATCTGCATTTAAGGAATGAACAATTATTTTAGCAACATGTACACAAAGAATTATTTAATATCAGTACTGTTAGCAAGTCATCTTTTCTTATTTTCAAAATCAATGCAGCTGAAGGCAATAAATTGATGATCATTTGATTTTCAGTAGATAATTTTTTTTAACTAGATTTCTGAAATAATTTTTAGGTAGCTTAATAGTTTTCAGTGGCATATTATATATAATAACCTGTCACTTTTACTTGAGTGTATTTTTCGTGTCAAGGACTTATTTAATACATGGAACAATTCATCCTTTACACCTTACCCTGGCAAGTAGAAATAGCTTCAGATTTTGATATTTTCATAAAACCATTTAATATACTATAGCTTATAGATATTATTTGTAAGAAATGATTATTTGATGATAAATGATATAGATATACATGTAGCTGCCAGATAACCATAAATTAAATTGAGAAAAGAATACTACAGAAATAAAATTCTGTCATGTATTAATTATCTTGATGGTAACTTGATATATGATATTTTATTAATAAGTTCATATTTTATAATCCTTGATTACAAAATTTCAAAGTTAATATTTTGGGGGGGGGGGGTCCTTTGCATATCTATGTTTTTATTTCATTTCCTACAGTATGAAAAGATAAAGGAAAATAAATCTTATTCATAAATCTTTTATATTTTGGATCCTTAAAAACTGGAAATGACATAATTATTTATAGAAAGAATCAAGCGTGAAGGGAAATGTTTCACCTATAATGTCATGTCTCGTGATCACGTTTGTAAACCATTACTGACCAGCCTGTAAATTGTTAATGTTTGTCAGTACAACATTTCATTTTGTTCAGCTGGTAGATTTCCTTTGATCTTTTATGTTTTGTGACTAAATGTGTGTGAATGAAAAAAGAACCTAAAGTCATTTTTTTTACCAATTTAAGATTAAATCTTGATGATTCAGTTAAAATGTTCAGCTTTGGAAATCATTTGTGTGATTTTTTTTAGAAATCTAAAGTATTATTTCCCCTGGTGTAACACATGTTAAGGTACCTGCATTTTCTCACCTGGACAAAATCCTGTCAATATGAGACAATGCAGGTATTCTAGGTAGATGTATATTGTAGAACTAAGAAGCTGATCTTACACTCTTTCCTAGGCTAATCAGTGTGGAGAACAGAACTACACAACTGATTTTGCTTGCCCTGACTGATATAAACATTTCCTGTTACAGATCGTGTGGTTCCATACCTGTCCAATCCCTCCCTACCTGTCCTAGAGGTCAGTCCCCAGAGGTTCCTCTTCTCACCTAATGCTGCCACCAGGTAAGTTCTCAGATAACCTACAGGCGATGGCACACTTTGATAAGTGGTACCTACACAGGGTTGTCCCTAAGAATTGAAATAGCAGGGGACATTAAAAAAGTAGATGGGGTCTGGGTTTCCTCCCCTAACAGAGGGTTGAGGGGAATATCAGAATAACTGGGGAAATACATCATTATAGGTGGGGAAATTCCCTGGCCCCTGGGTCTTAAAGACAACCTTGCCTACAGGTTCTTTTTCATTTCACCTCAAGGTGCCTCTATCTGATTCTAAATGCCAGCATCATATTAGTTCTCATGTCAGCTCATGGGGAATTATCAGATTGTATCAGGGACATGTTTTAGGAAAATTCCTGGAACTGGATATCTTTTTAGCTTATTTGATTTGGGTTTTTATCTTAATTAACAATTTTAACAGAGTGATTGCTATAAAGTAGGGATGTCAATTTGTAACCGGTTAACCGATTACTTGGTCGGAACGACGGTAATCGGTTAGAAAATCTGTAATTGGTTAGTCGGAAAAAAATAAAATATATGTAAATTTTAACGTAGTTCTCTTCAAATTCATTTTAAAAAAGAAACCTCTGCATAAACGTTGATAATGTAACGTTTTCACATATCTATTTAAGCTGATTCGGCGGTAATTATGACTCTCCTGATTGAGATCGCGGGGTAATTGGTCAGTTTGTGAAGTGTTAATTACAGTTGAAACACCATGTAGTTATCACGACAGTCCTCTAATTCTTTGATGATATTAAATAAATTATCGTTGAGCACTTTGAATTGATATGTCTATCTTTTGCCGTTATCTATCAAATTAAAGCATTAAACAAACAATGTAAATTAAGTGAAAGTTAATAATTATTCCGAATTAATTTTGATCATAGTGACGATGCAGTATGAACTTCTGCTCTGGAAAATTATCAATGTCTGATTTCTCGGGCATGTTTCATGGGTTTCCTTATTTTTCCTTGTCTATTTTCCTTGTCTACTTGACTATTGAAATTGAAAGAAAATACATGTACACGTAGTTTCCTGATAAAGGTAACAGAAGATTTGTAACTTCAATTCTAACGTCTGTTTTAGTCTTCTTGACAATGCTTTACATGTATAGCGCTACATGAAAAAAAAATATGTCTAGAAAATGTGTATTTTAATACGATTAACCGGTTAATCGGTCGGAACGTTTTGCGGTTAACCGATTAGCAATTCTGTATTCGATTGCCATCCCTACTATAAAGTATGTATAATTCTACAGTAGGATGACTTCAGTTGAAATTATTTGCTGCTATTGTGCTAATGTAAAGAATTTTGTCACAGAGAAAAGCTCAAAAAAAATTTGTGACTTTTTATTTCAGTTTATTCTGAATAGAGGATCAATGTTTTCAGACAGTGTTGTAGAATTCCATGTCAGACTTATGTAATACATGTACAGTGTATAATTGATAAAATTCTGTATATTTTGTCTTCATTGTTTTGTTTTTCCCCAGGTATGTATTAAACAAGAAGTCAGAAGAGGATGACCACAATGTAGACAAGTGGTTGGAGTGGGAGAGTTCACAGCTTCAGGTCAGTAGGTCATGGTAAGGTCACGGTCAGAGATTTAAATGAGAGACTTCATTTGTGAAATACTGTTACAGTAATATATCCTACTGGGTAAACACATTTTTATTTGTTTTTCAGCCTTACCTAGTCCGTTACCTTGTCAGTGTAATAGTTCACAAGAAACCAGACACAGAGTCTCTCAACAGAATACAGCAACTTCTCAAGTTCCTGAATGCTGAACTCAAAAGTAAATCATTGTCTAAGGTAATTTTACCTATCATAACGTAGTCACTTGTTCATATGCCGTATACTTTTTTTCCTGCTCATTTATACATTTAACATACATGTACATACTTGATATTGTTTAACTTGAAGAATATCTCTATCTTCCACCATTAAGTGATTGACATACATCACATTATCATTTCTAGGAATTTTCAGTGCTTGCTTGAGAAAAAAACCAATGTACAAGGGTTGTCCCAGAAAAACGCCAACATTTTCAATATCTTTTGTTTCACTGATACTATAATTTAAAAATTGACATACATGTACGCTATAATCAACATTTTTTGAATAATGCATAAAAATTTCAATAAATTATCTCTATAAATAACATTTTTTTCTCAGGTAAACGAATCTTACAAAATAGTTGTTGGTGCAACACTGACAACGTCAAAATGTAACTTGTGGCGTTTGAGAATTTTTTATGGAATCTTGCGTCTGATAAAATTTCTTTGAAGTATAAATTCGACACTGTATTTAATTTTCTTTTAGTTACCAAGTTATTCGTCTCAGGTATTAATTAGAGTTTCCAAAAGATCGCGGAATTAATTCTTTCAATAAACTAACAATTTCCCAACCCAGGTCATAAGTTTACCTAACTGCTCGCCTAGTTAAACGGCCATGTATGACGTCCAGCTTCTGAATTTTCAGTTTGTTGGTCTACCAAATGCTTTTTCCATCGAATAACCAGTCAAGCCATCCGCAGACCTCTTGAACTAGGTATAAATCTGTCTCCGAGATATATATTTGTGACGTTCCATCGTTTACATATCTTTCCCCGTATGGACAGAAGTCGTATCCCGCTCAACAGTACTGCTTGATAATTTGGGGCTCCGCATTATCGCCCGACATCACTATTTTTGACAGTATCTAAGTAAAGGTGTTCTTGCATCTAACGTCATATTTTTGTCAATTGTGATGCTAAATATATGAATTTTTACACATGAGTATTTCAGATCATAGAGTTATTATGGATATAATTTTTTTCACTCCCGTATAGACTGGTAATAAAGAAAACTTCCCTGACAATGCTATATCTAAAACTCAAAAAATTGTCGTTTGCCGAGCACCAATATTTGACACCTTTAAAAGCTACTTTTACAAGCAAATGACATAACAGCATTATAATATTTTGTCAAAAAAGCAAAAATTTCATTTCCCAACCAGGTGCAAAAAATTATTTTATTTTGGTTAGTTAGTGTTTGAAATATCCAAAAAGTTCACGTTTTTCTGGGACAACCCTCGTATATGTTTTTTTTTTGTGTGTGATTTGTTGATGTCCATTTTTGATACCTGTACCATGTTGTACTTGCTATGTTTCTAGATAAAACATTGCTGTTTTTGTGAGTTGTTGTACCTGATATGTATCAGCTCATTTTGTGAGTTGTTGTACTTGTAATATTTTTAGATAAAGGACTCTGCAGCTGACCTGGTTCTGTGGGGTTCACTATTCCCAGTGTTTAAGGGAACTGCAGAAATTAAAGGTTAGGACTTCAATCAGTCTCAGGTACCGTAACCATACTTTTTCCATGGGGTCATAATTCCATGGAATCTCAATTTTCGTTCAATCTGCAGGTAGCAAATTACACAAATTTCTTAGATTGCATTTGACATGTATGTCTTAAATTCAAAGTATGCAATGACAAATTTCTGTGAAAAATCTTTGACTGCATACACAGCATAGATTATTCCCATGCAGAAAAAAGTATATCTACAGCATTTTAAATTCTGCAAACCAACTTTTTTGCAGGTTTTAGAAATATCTGGGAGATATGCAAGCAACACTAGCTCACAGATATTTATGGTCTCCAAACAGTTGAAGACTTTAAATAGTTTATGAAATAGAAAAAAAATTGCAAACATTATCTGTCACAGACCAGTTTTCAAATTGTGATTTGTGAATAAAATAAGTATAAGTACATATAAATCAGGATTTTTTATCTCAGTCTGTTTGTACCAAAGAGATGAAAGTCAATGAAAAGGATATAGAAAACTTACGAATTAAAAAAAAATTAAAACAGTCAATGAAAAATTGACAAGGTTGAATCTTGATATTTATTTTAAAGGATAAATAGAGACTAAAATAAGTATAAAAGAAATGTGATATTCCTGATCTAGTTTACAAATATATTGTAATTAATAGCATTGTATTCTTTGTATGGCAGGTTGGGAGAGCCAGTACTCAAACATCAAGACTTGGTTTAACTCTGTGAACAGTCTGCCATGTTGTCAGACAGCATTATCTAAAGTTATACCTGGGGAAGATACCACCTGTCTAAAGGTAAATTATGAATATATATATAAACAATTTATGTCATCTGTCTAACAAACTTCAGATTTGTATGCAAAATTTTGTCACTGTTTATAATTAACATTTATACATGAAATTTAACTGAACACAAAATTACAACATTTGTTAGCTTGGTAAATAATGGTCATCAATATGTCCAAACACAACATATCCACTGTGTTTATGTGAGACATCAGTATGGTGCCCCATAGCTCTGTATTTTATGATTTTACGTATAGAGTGTTAATTGTTGCAGTGTTTGTGTATTGTTACAGGGTTCACTGAGTGCTCAGCCTGTTCCTCTTCTGGAGCAGGAGACCAGGTCAGAAGAACCAGTCCAAAAGGCAAAGCCACAGAAAGGCAAGATGGAAAAACCAGCAGAAAATACTACAGCTGAGGAAAGTCTGGTAGGTATAGCAGTTAGAGAGACTCTCCGCAAACTTTGTTTACAATTATAATATTGGATATACTTGCATTGAAACATTCCAATGAAGATAGGTGATTGGAGCTCCATTTTAAATTTTTACAAGGAAAAAGTTGCATCAAAATGAAATATTTTCTCTGTAATTCAATTACATTATTACATGTACATTTCCACAAATTTTACTGGGGTGCATTTTCAAAAGCGTAGCAGTCATGTAGCCTCTACTTGAAGCCAAGCTGATATGTAGGGAGAGCTAGCATAAATATTTGATGCATAGTACCAAATCGAAAATGGCCTCCTTAGTTATAACTTCACAGAAAACCAGATTTTAACAAAAAGAGGATGATTTCTACATCTTAGCGAATTAAATGTAAATTTACTTATGTAATTTCCTGTTAAATAACTTTTATGCCCTCCATGAATATGGCTCGGGCATATACAGTTTGTCATGCCTGTCTTCCATCCTTCCACCCTTCTGTTCTTCCGTCACACTTTGCATTTAGCTCAGTTCAAAGCTCAGTTTCAAAGAAATTATTGAAGATATTTTTATCAACATTTTTTTTTACCTTGACCTTTCCTTTGACCTTGACCTCAATTTTCTTAAATTAGTGTTTAGCTCAGTTTTAAAGAACCTATTCAAGATATTTATATCAAACTTCATATGCTGATACATACTGCTGAGAGCTATTCAACTGCATCAACTTTTTTTGACCTTGATTTTTCTTTTGACCTTGACCTCACTTTTATATTTTGGTTTAGCTCAGTTTTAAAGAAACCATTCATAATATTTTTTTCTTGAACTTTCATAATCTAATAATACTGATATTAAATTTTCAACTGCATCAACATTTTTGACCTTGAGGTTTCTTTTGACCTTGACCTCACTTTTCTTAAATTAGTGTTTAGCTCAGTTTTAAATAAACCATTCAAGATATTTTTATCAAACTTAATATGTTGATACATATAAGTGAGAGTTATTCCACTGCATCAAAAACTGTTGACCTTGACCACACTTTTCTTAAATATGCATTTTGCTTAGTTTTAAAGAAAGCATTTAAGATATTTTCATGTAAGCTTATGCACTTATACATAATTTGGTGAGAATCTTTCATCTATATCTAATTTTTAGCTCACCTGAGCCAAAGGCTCAAGTGAGCTTTTCTGATCACATTTCATCCGGCGTCCGTCCGTCCGTCTGTCTGTAAACTTTTCACATTTTCGACTTCTTCTCAAGAACCAATTTTGACCAAACTTGCCACAAAGTGTCCTTGGGTTATGGGGATTCAAGTTTGTTCATATGAAGGGCCATGTGCTCTTCCAAGGGGAGATAATTACAAATTAGTGAAAAATTAATACCATCTTTTTAAAAATCTTCTTCTCAAGAACCGCTGGGCCAGGAAAGATGAAACTCATGTGGAATCATCCTCAGATAGTGTAGATTCAAGTTTTTTAAAATCATGACCCCGAGGTAGGGTGAGGCCACAATGGACGATCAAATTTTTACATAGGAATATATAGGAAAAATTCTTTAAAAATCTTCTTCTCAAGAACAGCAAAGCCATGATTGGTCATATTGATATGGAAGCATCCTCAGGTAGTGTAGATTCAAGTTTGTTCGAATCATGACCCCTGGGGGTAGGGTGGGGCCACAATGGGGGATCAAAGTTTTACATAGGAATATATAGGAAAAATCTTTAAAAATCTTCTTCTCAAGAACAGCAAAGCTTTGTTAAGTCATATTGATATGGAAGCATTCCCAGATAGTGTAGATTCAACTTTGTTCGAATCCTGACCCACCAGGGTTAGGGTGGGGCCACAATGGGGGATCAAAGTTTTACATACATGTAGGAATATATAAAAAAAAATTATAATCTTTTTCTCAAGATTAGCAAAACCTTGTTAAGTCATATTGATATGGAAGATTCTCAGATAGTGTAGATTCAAGTTTGTTAAAATCATGACCCCCGGGGGTAGGGTGGGGCCACAATGGACGATCAAATTTTTACATAGGAATATATAGGAAAAATTCTTTAAAAATCTTCTTCTCAAGAACAGCAAAGCTATGATTGGTAATATTGATATGGAAGCATCTTCAGGTAGTGTAGATTCAAGTTTGTTCAAATCATAACCCCCCTCCCCCGTGATATGATAGGGCCACAATGAGGGAGCAAAGTTTTACATAGGAATATTTAAGAAAAAAAACTTTTCAAGAACAGAAAAGCCATGTTTAGTCATATTGGAAGCATCCTTAGGTAGAGTTGCTTCAAGTTTGTTCAAATGATGACCCCCCTTCTCCGAGGGGGGGGGGAGGGGCCACAATGGGGGATCAAATTTGTAACAAGGGAATATATAGGAAAAAATCTTTAAAAATCTTCTGCTCAAGAACAGCAAAGCCATTTGTTTTATTGATGTGGAAGCATCCTCAGGTAGTTTCAAGTCCCAGTCCCCCCCCCCCCCCCCCAATTAAACGTTTCAATACTGAACCAATTTGTTTTTTTTCCTAGCAAATGTGCTCAGGTGAGCGATGTGGCCCATGGGCCTCTTGTTTAGATTTCAATTTGAAAGAAACTATTCAAGATATTCTCATCAAACTTTATACACTAATACAAAATTTCATTGACTCGTTTTATAAAGCTTGTAAAAGAAGCATCACCTGAGGAAATTCAGACTGCAAAGGAATCCTGGAGGACAGGCAAATCAAAGTGTCTTCTACCCAGAAAGAGGAAACATCCCATGTAAGTACAGTAACAGAGTGAATGGCATCAGAGGAAGGTGGTCATATGTAAAATGTATTATCCCAAAGCTTTCAGTAGACAGAAAACAAATGTCAGAAAATTTACAGACAAATCAACTTAGTCTGTGATAAATTAAATGTCTTACAATTTTTTTTGTTTTTGATTTCTTTTAGTGTTTTATACTGCATGCAAAAATGCATGCTAAAAAATAAATAAATCCATTGTCTTATTTTCAGTTTACCAAATTCAGGGGAGAGAAATCTTTTGATCACAAGTGCTCTCCCCTATGTAAACAATGTGCCTCACCTTGGTAACATCATTGGCTGTGTTCTTAGTGCTGATGTCTTCTCAAGGTTTGTATCCATCAGTTTTAGAAATAATTAAACTTGCTCTCTTTTATGTATCAGATATGTGAATGTGAATCATTCTTTTTGCATTTATTTAAAGAGTGATACATGATTCATAGGAAAAATATAACTTGTATTCTTATTACCATTAAAGAAAGCAAGACAGTTCCAAAAAGCATGGTTTATTTTAATCTTAAAATGTTTTCTATTTGGATCAATATAAATTTTTTAAATCATTTTAAAATCATTTTTGTCTGGAATTCTTGAAAAAAAACCCTTACTCCTGTAGACTTGCATTTCTTCAATATATTACTGTAACAGGTATTGTCGCTTGAGGAACTACAATTGCCTGTACATTTGTGGGACAGATGAATACGGAACAGCAACAGAGACAAAAGCCATCGAGGAGGGTCTTACTCCGCGGGAAATCTGTGATAAATACAACAAAATCCACACGGAAATCTACGAGTGGTTCAACATTTCCTTTGATGAATTCGGCCGTACTTCTATACCAGAACAGACTAAGTATGAATGGACATGATCAAAGTTTACCAGCTAGTAATGACAGCAAATTTTTTAGTGTGTTAGAAAACCAGAAGTTGAAATAATACTGAATACTCATGTAAACACATAAAAAAAAATACCATTTCTTAAATTTTAGACTTGCTTTTTTTTTAAAATAACAAGCATGACAAAAGCACATTTATCACACAAACCATAATACCATAATGATGAAACCTGAACTTTTTAATTTCTTTATTATAAAGATAAAACATTAAATTTTGGTAATGTTATGAATGCATAATTATTGAAAAATAATAAACTTATGAACAGGATTGCCCAGGAGATATTCTGGAAGCTAGAAAATAATGGATTTATACTCAGGGACAGTATAGAACAACTGCAATGTCAAAAATGTCTGAGGCAAGTGTGTCCTAGTTCCCAAAGCAATTGTGTCAAAGTGTACAATTCTACAAATACTTCTGAAATCTGCAACAGACTTGTACTGGCAAATGTTATATACATGTATTATTATTGAAAAAGCAAAAAAAAAAAAAAAAAAAAAAAAAAAAAACCAAACTCCAAAACAAAAAACAAGGCTAATTCACACATTTAATTATAAGAAACCATTGACGGTGTTGGATAATGTGATTTTTGTGTGACAGGTTTTTGGCTGACCGCTTTGTGGAGGGCACCTGTCCACTCTGTGGGTATGATGACGCTCGCGGTGACCAGTGTGATGGTTGTGGGAAATTACTGAACGCTATTGATCTAAGGGACCCCAAATGTAAAGTTTGTCAAGGAATACCGATGGTCAAGTCTTCACAACACTTGTTTCTGGACTTACCAAAGGTAAGATACATGTATGTCCAGAGTTTTGATTGGGTACACATGTATGTCATCAATGATAAAACAAGTTTTTTGGCCATAAATATATCTAAAATTGTCACACATTAGCAATTACAATGTACATGTATATTTAAATCAAAATTGATAAAATGAATTTTTTCAAGTTTAATTGAGAGCTTCATGTGCATGTATGTAAAAAACAAATCATTACAATTTCCTTTACAGATTGAGAGTAAGCTTCAGACTCACCTTAACACAGTGTTTGATAAAGGGATCTGGACAAACAATGCTCGAGTGATAACAAACTCATGGTTAAGGGATGGACTCAAACCCCGCTGTATCAGTCGAGATCTCAAGTGGGGCATTCCTGTACCCTTAGAAGGGTTCACTGATAAAGTAAGATGTAAAATAGGGCATTCCTGTACAGTAAGAAGGGTTCCCTGACAAAGTAAGATGGAAATTAGACTATTCTTGTACTCTTATAAGGGTTCACCGACAAAGTAAGATGTAAAATAGAGCATTCCTTTACCCATATAAGGGTTCATTGACAAAGTAAGACATAAAATGGGCACTCTTGTACCCTTAGAAGGGTACACTTAGAATATAAGATGTAAAATAGGGCACTCCAGAACCTTAAGAAGGGTTGTCTTACAAAATATAAAATAGGTCATTCCTGTACTCACAAAGGGGTTCATTGACAAAGTAAATTGTTGTAAAAGATCTGATTCTCCAAGCCAAAATGCTGTACAAACTTATTTCAGGTGTCTTATGTTTGGTATTATGCCCCAATTAGTTACCATTGTTAAATACTGTACTGACTTATTTCAGGTGTTTTACGTATGGTATGATGCCCCGATTGGATACATATCTGCCACAGCTTGTTACACTGACCAGTGGGAAAAGTGGTGGAAAAACCCGAAACAGGTAACAACAGATCTATCTTGTCTGATATTTATATGGATGTGGACTTGGGAGGCCTTGGATGAAAATGTAAACAGGCTACAGAAAAATAGAATACATGATTACTGTCTTGAAGTATAAGTGATATTTGGGCGAGGGTAAAACGTGTAAACAAATATCACTTATATTTCAAGACAGTTATCTTGTATTCTGTTTATCCTGCAACATTGTTTTACATTTGACATCCAAAACAAGCTATTTTTTTTTTTACAAATTTAGACACATTTCTGCAGTTGAAACTATGTAGCCATAGCATAAAAAATGCAAAATATATGATGTCACAATGCTTTTTAGCGTCGGAATGCACAAGGCTATATTTTGGCATTGACCGAATATAGCTTTGGTTTATTAGATTATCTTAAATCAGTCAATGCAAATGGTGGTTGCAGGATAAAAATTGTGTACATGTACCTTGTCTATCCAATATAGCTTAATTGTATTAACCAGAGATAAAGAAATTACTCTCCATTAAATTAATTTTATAATGCTTCACTTTAGTGATTAGTATCATTTTTTCTGATTGCTCTATTTTTGTAAAACAATGAATTTTGGAATATAATTTTTCCAATGGAGAACTTTAGATTATTTAAATCCCTTCATTATGAAAGTAATTTGAAAACAATTTCAAATCGTACATGTGCAAAAAAGTGAAGGCTGACTTTGAAGATCAAATTGACTATAAAAATTACAAATAACCTTTGAATCAGCAAATGTATAAATGTACATGTATATATACATGTACAGAATGTATACACCAGTTTTATCCTGCAGATGGACCTGTACTACTTTCTTTTTGTATAATTTCTTGTATTTACACATGTACTTATTTCCAGGAAGAGCTTTACAATTTTTTGTGTACATACATGTATGGCTATACTTATACATGGATCCGGTTCTAAGTGTATGTACTTGTAAGCCTGTACACACGTATATCCAGGTGGAGCTGTACATATTTCTGTATATTGTATATATAATTATACACCTGTACTTACATGTATATTCAGATGAAGCTGTACATATTTCTGTTTATTATATAAACATAATTTATACACCTGTACTTATTTCCAGGTGCAGATTTTGTTTATTTTATACATGTACTAATTTTATTGACCTGTGCTTATTTCCAGGTTGAGCTGTTTAACTTTCTGGGCAAAGACAACGTTCCTTTTCACTCTGTGATATTCCCCTCCACACTGCTGGGAGCTGATGATAATTACACAATCGTGAACCACATGTCAGCTACAGGTAAGAAGATATATGAAGAAAATCCGGAAAATCAAGGGTCGTACGAACTGGAGCAATCTTAGATCTGTTTATTTGTACCACGTGAATTCCAAAACGGCACGTGCCTACACTGTAGAGTTTACAGTTATAATGAATATTAGGTGAAAGCAATTTTCAAAAACACAAATTATCATAACTCTCTAACAAAATAATCTAAAATAATAATCGTAAAGACTTTAGTCTGCATTCAGGCGAATTTAACAGAATAAAAAGGACAAATGTTGACGTTTTGTGTATTGGGGTCCGAGAAAGGAAAACCAACTAATCATACGTTAACGCAGCAAATGTCAAACAAAATATTTTTCTGCACGGTTTAAAAAAAAATAGCATTTCAAATGGCAACAATGTTTATAAGTCAAAGATGTATTTTTTATGTTGAGTTTACACTTATATTTTTTTTTCTTTGAAAGCGATGGGAAAATAAGAAATGATAACAAGTATCAACAAACCTGTCGAATAGAACCTTCGAGAGCCCTGCTTGAGTGTCGCCGAGTTCTCATTTCTTCCTTATCCAGTGATTATATTAATCCCCAAACTAAATTTTAGTCAGGAAAGTTGCTTTTACAAGTTCTATTTTCAGTTTCTTTTATTTTTAGTCGACCAGGCCTACCGGGATTCCCTCTCTAACCATGCTGTTTTGTTTATGAAAACTACGCATGCGTGCATAGCATGGAATGTGGAACCCCGAACATGTTGCGATATATATATTTACGTCCCATAAATAACTATTAATTTTAATGAAATAATCCAAATTATTTAATTGTAAAAGTTGTAATTTTCTGAAAGTTTATACATTTATGAGTAGTAAAAAAATTCCAAATCTTGTCGGAAAATTTTATCTAGTCAGTTTTTCGATGAGATGCGCTGTACTGTCACTTTAAATATTGACAATATCTGTGATTAAAATTTAGCTGAATTCATTAAAATACATGCAGCTTAAAATAATTGAAAATTTACTCTAACATTTTAGACATGGTTTGTTTGGAATTAATAGATTTATTAATACAAAGCAAACATTAAAAAAAATCCTTGAAATAAAAATCTTCAGTGGTTTTTTAGACATGGGTTGTATTCAATTTGGAAGTCTTATTACAGAGTACCAAATTATGATGATACAAAGTTCTATATACATGGCTTGTATTTAATTTGGGATTATTCTTACAGAGTACCTGAATTATGAGGATACAAAGTTCTATAGACATGGCTTGTATTTAATTTGGCAGTCTTCTTACAGAATACCTGAATTATGAGGATACAAAGTTCTATAGACATGGCTTGTATTTAATTTGGCAGTCTTCTTACAGAATACCTGAATTATGAGGAAACAAAGTTCTATAGACATGGCTTGTATTTAATTTGGCAGTCTTCTTACAGAATACCTGAATTATGAGGATACAAAGTTCTCCAAGAGTCGAGGGACAGGGGTGTTTGGTCACCAGGCCAAAGAGACAGGAATCCCTGCTGATGTCTTCAGATTTTACCTGTTGTATGTCCGACCAGAATCACAGGTGAGTGGAGCTCATAAAGATATAGTGAGTGAAATTGGGAGGGGCATGCAGAGGGGAAGAATTGAAACATTTTTTTTTTCTGGAGCTTAATATGGAGATTCAAGTTTAGTATTGATAAATAATAAGAGCCTATGTTTTTATTGAATTCCATTCACAACTACATTTTGTTTTGATGCAGGGAATACTACTAATACTTTAATTATGAGTATTCATCTAACATTATAGGACAGCAGCTTCAGCTGGGATGATTTTCAACTGAAAAACAACAGCGAACTACTGAATAACCTGGGAAACTTCATCAACAGGTGATTTTTTGTTTTTCTTTCTACAGAGCCTCTTAAAAATCTGCAAACTATTTTATTTAATTATGAAATACATTTCTTCATTGTGAAAATATTACTTGATCCACCTCTCACTGCCTACAAACTGCGTCAAGTTTTACAGAATGACATCATATCGACAAGTGCAGTGCGATCAGTGACTTGTTTAAACCTTACTATGTGGGAATTAACTAACAACAAAAACGCATGTTATAATAAGTTTTGATATAGTTTAACCATCTCATACAGTTTAAAATTGCAAATCACTTCATGTTTTGGTATTTTTAAGGATTGATAGTATCGTGCGATGTCATAGTTAATATTTCCCGTAAAAATTAGGCCCCGCCTCCTTTTTGTAGCCTTAACTGTGCTGTGTGGACAGGTATCGGTTAATCTTGGCTTTTTGCCTTGGTCAACCAATACCTAACCAGGTCCATATAGTCACAAGTACATGTATACCTCATCAAAAGTCAATAATTGTATAATATTAAAAAAGACAAGGTGGCTACCACTTAAAGCATTACTGTAACGTGTTGATACTGACATTTTTTTCTTTGCTTTATAATACAGGGCATTAATGTTTGTCAGTAATAACTTTGGAGGACAGGTTCAGGAAATGAACTTGACAGAAGAAGACTTCAACCTGTTGGCTCTGGTCAACAGAGAACTGCAGACATACATAGACAACATGGAACAAATCAAGTAAGATTTCACCGTTAGAGGCATGTGCCAATACTTAGAGTCCTGAGGTTCTGTAAAGAATTACTAAAATAGCAACTATTAATAGATATCAAATTTTAAAACTGGTAAAATGAATCATTACAATTAATCACATCTATCTGGATATTTAGATGACTTATGAAGGTGTATTTCTCAAATATCTAATGATGATTAAATTGATTTCCTTGGGAAAAGCTGTATAACATGTACCTCCATATTCATTGATTTCAGATTGAGGGACTCGATCAGAAATATCCTTAGTATATCAAGGCTGGGGAACCAATACATGCAGGCCAACAAGCCTTGGGTCCTGGTGAAGGGCAGCCAAACAGACAAGTAGGTATACCACAGGCTAACAAATCTTGGGTCTTGATGAAGGGCAGCCAAACAGACAGTCAAGTAGGTATACCACAGACCAGCAAATCTTGGGTGTTGGTGAAGGGCAGCCAAACAGACAGTCAAGTAGGTATACCACAGGCTAACAAATCTTGGGTCTTGGTGAAGGGCAGCCAAACAGACAAGTAGGTATACCACAGACCAACAAACCTTGGATTTGGTGAAAGGCAGCCAAACATACAAGTAAGAAGGGTACTTTGGTTGAGAGAAGAGAAAAAAAAATAGAATGAAAAAATTTACTTGAAGAAACAAGGATTTATAAACATTTACTCTTTACTGTGCTTTGTTTTGTACAGAACTCGAGCTGGTACAGTGGTCAGTCTCTCAGCTAACTTGGCAACTCTTCTGTCCGTACTTGTCCAGCCGTACATGCCAATGGTCAGTGCCACCATCCAGGATCAGCTAAAGACTCCAGCAGAATGTAACATCATCCACAGAGAGTTTGTGTGCCATCTTCCTCCAGGACATAAAATTGGCAAGGTACATACAGATTAACAATGGCTAGCCCTTTACTACCATGGAACTTGTGCTAAATGTAAAGAATGATTTTAAAATTATTAAACATCTTTAAAGTAAGATAAATGATCATGAAAAATCAGAACTTAGTTTTAATTTTAGATAATTGATTGACTTTAATTAATGAATGATATGTGGCTTTTCAGCCCAGTCCACTGTTTGAAAAAATAGAGTCGTCCAAAATTCAGGAGATGAAGAAACGATTTGAGGGGGAACCTGCTCCACAGAAATCTTCCAAAAAAGTGAGTACATTCAAAATCACTGGACACTTTTTGAATAAGGTGATAAAAGGTATTTAAGTACAAGTCTCTGTAAGAATCAGGCAAAAGGTGAATCATGAGGGTTCTCAGAATTTGATGATTTTCAACACATAGATTTCTCTTGCGCTATAAACCATGTACGCAAAGTGAAAAAAGTTTTGGGTCATGGTTACTATGGAAACATGACAAAAGAAATTTCCCTAGCAACCGGTCAATTTCCATGTGTATGGACAAAAAAATCACTAATCTTTAGGGCTTGAAATTGATTGTAAATATTATAGAATTTCTTCTTATTTATTCTTATCGTAAAGATAAACATTTAAAGTGTTTTCACAATGCACTACATAGGAATAAGAATTTGAGATATAACTGTACTAGACATGGGTAGATATGCATATTTTGTGTTTTTTGCTGATTCAGCACTTTTGTTGATTTTGGTACTTTTCAAGGCCTCATTACTAAAACTTCTGGCGTAATACAGGAATTGCATATATTTCGCATAAAAGCAGAGGCATGTGTCTTTTGGACTTTCAATTCAAAAAGGTGTGTTTTTTGAAAATTCCAATCCGTTACCTAGCAACAAAAATGGATGTTTTGATAAATAAAAATGGAAAATCGTACAATGTAAAACATTATTAATCTAATAAATTGTAATCTGAGAGTACAAAAACACAGTTTAAAGTAAGAAAATACATCTGAGACAATTTTGCAAACCAGGAAATATTGAACAAATACTTATCTCCATGGCAACAGCAAATTCTCCATAGCAACAAAGCAAATAAAGTCACTTTTGACACATATTTATGAACAATTGTAAAATATTAATCCACAGTTTGGTAGCATATTGCAATTAATCAAATTTGATTTTGTAATAGATGTCTTAGCAAAGTACATTTTTATGATTTTAATCCATTTTTATACTTTTAACCCATGGCAACAACATTTGAGCACATGAGAACCAAAATATGTTAGGGAGAGTTAAGAGCAATTTTCTAACCACTTGAACCTTTTTTTTTTTTTTTTTTTTTTTTTTGTCATGCATGGTCACTGATTTTCCTGAAACTTTGTTCATTATCACTGATTATAATAGTAACAATTATAATAGTTTGACAACAGAATTTTAAATCAATTAATGTTTGGTTGTTATGTGCCTTAGTTGTCATGGTGACAGATAGGATAATTTCAACAAATTTAGATTTTCGGCTACTTTGAATCTTTATTGACCCTTCACAAGCACTTATAAACCAAATTGGCCATTTACATATGAAACAAGATGTGTTTGTGAAACAATGATGCCCCCTATGGCAGGTTATGGCGAAGATTAAAGTTTCTCAAATGCAAGTCAAAATCCAGGCCAAAAGATAAAAATGTTAAATTTGAAAGCCCTAGCTGCAACTGTTCAAAAGTTATGGCGAAGGTTAAAGTTTTCTAAAAGTAAGTAAAACATCAATGTCAAGGTCAAAGTTGTTGGTATCCAAAGGAAGGTCTTGTCACAAGGATTACATATGTAAAGTATGAGAGCCCTAGCACCAACCATTCAAAAGTGATGACCAAGGTTAAAGTTTTTTGAAAGTAGGTCAAACTCCTATGTCAAGGTCAAAGTGGTTGGTATCCAAAGGAAGGTCTTGTCACAAGTATTACATATGTGAAGAATGAAAGCCCAAGCACCAACCATTCAAAAATTACGGCCAAGGTTAAAGTTTTTCAAAAGTAGGTCAAACTCCTATGTCAAGGTCAAAGGGTCAAAGTGGTTGTTATTCAAAGGAAGGTGATGACACAAGAATTACATAAGTGAAGTATGAAAGCCCTAGCATCAACCATTCAAAAGTTATGGCCAAGTTTAAAGTTTTTCAAAAGTAGGTCAAACTCCTAGGTCAAGGTCAAAGAGTCAAAGTGGTTGGTATCCAAAGGAAGGTCTTGTCACAAGAATTACACTTGAAGAATGAAAGCCCTAGTATCAACCATTCAAAATTATGGCCAAGGTTAAAGTTTTTCAAAAATAGGTCAAACTCCTAGGTCAAGGTCAAAGGGTCAAAGAAGTTGATATCCAGAGGAACAAGGAATACACATGTGAAGTTTGAAACCCCAAGCACCAACTGATCAGAAGTTATGGCCAAGGTTAAAGTCTCATAAAATTTTGCAAAAGTGGGTCAAACTCCAAGGTCAAGGTCAAAAGGTTAAATATGATGGTACCCAAAGAAAGGTCTTGTCACAAGGAATACACTTGTGAAATATGAAAGTCATAGCTCCAACCAATCAAAAGTTATGGGCAAGGTCAAAGTTGACAACAGACAGACAGACAGATAAACAGACAAACAGATAAACAGACAAACAGACAGACAGGACAAAAACAATATACCCCCGGGATCTTTCGATCCGGGAGCATAAAAAAACCCAATAAACCTTGTTGCCACTTATTATGCAAAGAAAGTTTTTGGAATATATCTCTATATAGATGGTAACCATGGCTACATTTGGCATACATTTTATATGCAGAAAAACGCTCAGTATATTCTTATTATGGGAGTTACATGACTCAACTCGATCGCCAGTGATAAAAATTCAAAATACTTGACCTTATAAAAAGAAAGGTTTTAGCAATATTATTCTAACAATGAAAATATCAGTTGCCAAGATGACACAGCAAAGTACTTCAATATGTTATAACCCTACAAACAAAAATATGGGTTATAAAGGAATCACCTGTCTGTCTCTGTGTCCTTTTGTCCGTGCAATTATGTCCGGGTCATAACTTTGTAATGCTTTGTAATGTAGAAACATTACAAAAGTTCATTCTTGATAGAAAAATTGTTAATAATCTGAGGGTGTATCTTGACTTTTACCCAAGGTCATTTCAGCTAGTTCAAGGTCACTAGCAGTTAAAAATGTAAAATTGATATCTGGTCTACAACTGTCTTTTTCTGTATTGCTGCAAATGTTAAAAAAGGGACTCTCAACATGCTCAAAAGTGCCATTTTCAAACTTTAAGGCATGTTGTCATAGTAACCATGAGACATAGCAACTAATATTTGCTTGATATGAGTTAATGGTATTGAATTTAGGCTGAATCATGTCAATAAGAATGGAAACAAGATGTGTTTGTGAAACACTGATGCCCTCGTATGGCAGCTTATGGCGAAGGTTAAAGTTTCTCAAATGCAAGTCAAAATCCAGGCCAAAAGATAAAAAATGTTGATACCCAAAGAAAGGTCTTGTCTATATAGGAATATACCTGTGAAATTTGAAAGACCTAGCTGCAACTGTTCAAAAGTTATGGCCAAGGTTAAAGTTTTTAAAAATAAAAGTCAAACGTCAAGGTCAAGGTCAAAGTGGTTGGTATCCAAAGGAAGGTCTTGTCACAAGGATTACATATGTGAAGTATGAAAGCCCTAGCACCAACCATTCAAAAGTTATGACCAAGGTTAAAGTTTTTTGAAAGTAGGTCAAACTCCTATGTCAAGGTCAAAGAGTCAAAGTTGTTGGTATCCAAAGGATGGTCTTGTTACAAGGCTTACATGTGTGAAGAATGAAAGCCCTAGCACCAACCATTCAAAAGTTATGGCCAAGGTTTAAGTTTTTCAAAAGTAGGTCAAACTCCTATGTCAAGGTCAAAGGGTCAAAGTGGTTGGTATCCAAAGGAAGGTCTTGTCACAAGGATTAAATATGTGAAGTATGAAAGCCCTAGCTCCAAGCATTCAAAAGTTATGGCCAAGGTTAAAGTTTTTCAAAAGTAGGTCAAACTCCTAGGTCAAGGTCAAAGGGTCAAAGGCATTGATATCCAGAGGAAAGTCTTGTCACAAGCAATACACATGTTAAGTTTGAAACCCCAAGCACCAACTGTTCAAAAGTTATGGCCAAGGTTAAAGTTTTTCAAAAGTAGGTCAAACTCCTAGGTCAAGGTCAAAAGTTGTTGGTATCCAAAGGAAGGCCTTGTCACAAAGAATACACATGTGAAGTTTGAAACCCTAAGCACCAACTGTTCAGAAGTTATGGCCAAGGTTAAAGTCTCATAAAATTTTGCAAAAGTGGGTCAAACTCCAAGGTCAAGGTCAAAAGGTTAAATATGATGGTGCCCAAAGAAAGGTCTTGTCACAAGAAATACACTTGTGAAATATAGCTTCAACCAATCAAAAGTTATGGGCAAGGTTAAAGTTGACAACAGACAGACAGACAAACAGATAAACAGACAAACAAAAAGACAGGACAAAAACAATATACCCCCGGGATCTTTCGATCCGGGGGCATAAAAAGTTGTTTATCCATGGTTTTAACCATCAATTTGGGGGCGGGGGCGGTGGGTAAGAAAAAAATCATTGTTTCATCTGTTACCATGTCAAGAAGTCTCCTTAACAAAAAAATATTATGCTTTCTGTCAGTTTGTCTCTATATTTAATCAATACCCATCCATTTTCGCAGAGTGTTCTAAGGATTTATAAAGCGTAAGCATACTATGCCAAAATAGTGCACAGCTTCTTTTTCTAAAGAAAATCCGACGACAGGGATCGAACTCATGATCACGAGATTGTCAGTCCGACGTGCTACCGACATGACGCCATTATCAAACACTGTATTTTAATGTAAATAACCGTAGTTTCAAATATTTGACACTTAAAAGAAAACAAAACAAAATATTTTTTAGCATAGTTTCTTACAATTTTCTTATCCCTTTATTCAATTAAAATTCTTTGAAACTTTCTGTACATTATACCTAACTGCATGAAACACTCAAAATTATGACGTAATAGTATCACATCGTAACATCATAAAAGGGGTGTACCAACATGTTAGTGAGAGACGTTGAAAATCGAAAAATATATTTTTATACTTCCCTTCGAAGAAGGGGGGGGGGTTCATATTACTCTCCTGCTTGTTGGTCGGTTGTGTCCGTCTGTTGGTCCACCAACAGTTTCTGTTCATTTTCTTCGCAGAGGTTGCACATACTGGTATAAAATTTGATATACAAATTTACCATAAAAATATGT